CATAAATTGGGCAACAATTACCAACAGCATTTATTGGGCCACCGAGATCATCCTGCTTCTCAATATCGGTGGCAGGCCCGCAATATCTTAATTAATACCAATAATAAAATTATGTTAATAAAGAATCATTTCATAAAGATTCCAATCGCAACTTTAAAAATAAAAAAACTCATCCAAAATAACCAATTACCTATATCCAGGGAGATTGAAAGGTAATCCGCTTGGCGCCTTTTTAACTTTAGCTTTCTCCAAGGAAAGTATAATACCACGTGGGCGTCGGAGAGATCCAGGATGGAAAAATGCATCTTGACGAAGATGAAAGCAAGATGGCAATTTACCTTCGTTGGTAGGAATAAACGTGTGCTTTCTGGCAAAGAAGGCTGAATGCAGGAGACTTGTGTAGTTGAACCTGATGCATGATATTTGGTTGCACAGAATTAGAACTGTGCATGCAGAAGGAAGAGGAGTAGTGCCTTGAATAGCTTTAGTTACTGCTTGCTTGGTGGTACAGTTCTTCGTTTCAGCCGCTATATTACAATAAGTGTCACTAATTTTTTCCTGAGTTAAGTCGGATAGTTTATTGGATGGAAATGTGTGGTTGGCGTTTGAAATTGTGATGTTATTTAGTAGATAACGGCTGGCATCCACGAAACTTTTAAAATAAAAAGTTACATAGCTTTCACTTCCCCATATCCGTATCTTTTTATTTTCATACTCTACTTCTTCAATTTTGATAGTGTCACTGAAGAACATAACAGTTTCATTAATTTCCATACACATCGTTTGATTACATATCAGAAATTCACTGCAATTGGATGGTAATGTCTCCTTGAACCAGATAACCAATCCACCCAGGTTATCCGTCTCATCACACACAACTTTAACCTGTTTATCTATTTCTATTTTATCGACATTCGCGCAACTTTTACCACAAACACAATGAACTATATATAACACATACAGTGTTCCATAAATTAAGTTATGCAACGTCATCTTCAATTTTAAAAATTAATAATTGAGCGGATACCAGTAAGTACAAACTCCAAAACTTAAATTTCAAAATGTCGACTGGAGAAGCCAGCAAGGATAAGGGGTCTCCCATCACCTCATATATTTATAATGCATCAGTTTTTAGGGGATATTCATCACCCCAACCGTTAACCCAATCCTTCCCCAAACAAGATGGTGCATAAAGATATGTATATGAGAAAGGGACCAGTTTATACAAACATAAGTATGCTGCCTGAGACAGGCTATGAAGCCTGGTTACCATGGTTACTATGTTGACCCTTCAGGGACCCTTAACTCTTGACCTATAGGTCAAAAAAATTCAGGAAAATATTTTTATGCTTGCCCTTTGCCAGGGGATTAATTTGATACCCCACTTGCATGGGGTTACCATGGTTACTATTTTGACCCTTCGGGGGCCCTTAACTCTTGACCTGAGGGTCAAAAAAATCCAGAAAAATATTTTTTGGGTTCCCCTTGTCCAGGGGATTAATTTGATACCCCACTTGCCTTTAGTTGTGAGGGAATGATATTTAACCCTTCAAGGGCTCCTAGTTCACGACTCAAGGGTCATAAAAATTTATAAAAATATTTTTCTGGTTCCCCTGGTCCAGGGGATTAATTTGATACCCCATTTGCATGGGGTTATCAGGGAACGCTATTTGACCCTTCAGGGGCCCTTAATTCATGACCCAGGGGTCATAGAACGCTAAAAATAATTTTTCTATACTATTCCCATGCTAGACTTTTATTTTGGACCAGTTTGGAGGAAAAAATTTTTTTGACCGGTGACGTCGTGAAATTAATGCTACAAAGCGGTGTAATAAGTCTGCAGGGTTAGAACTTCATCCACAGTACTGTATGCACTATAATGCTGTATGGTAGTGCATCTTTATTAAATTCGTCGTTCCCGATTCATCACTTGTATTGTACATTTGTAAAAGTGATCCTCTACGGTAGAGGCTCTACCAGCGGTGACTCGCACATGTACAATGTATGAAACTTTTTTATGGACGTATTTCCATGTATTTCTCAAATGAGTCAGCGTCACCTCCTTGTATGTCCAGGCTGTCATAATCATCTGCTGCACGGATTACATTTCACCACCAATTTTACATCCAAAATCTAACTTTGTTTCTATTTATATTGACATCATCCGCATTAATCAATGAATCTGTATAAAATCTAAAATCAAACACTGCAGTGCAGTAACCACATGCAAGAAGTAACCGAAAGAAATTGGTTTATTGCGGTTTCTTGCAGCTATTTTTACCCGCAAGAAATGCAAGAAACGATTTGGGGCGAAAGGAGACTCACTTTTATTAATAAATCAAGAAAAGAAGTGAAAGTTGTTACTCCAACAGACTTATATTGCTTAAACTATTTATCACATGTCACCAAAGTGTAAATAAATTCTCTCAAATGAATACATCTGGGGTGGTCCATAAATTATGTCACGGTGAGTATGGGGGGGAGGAGTTCCCAGCATCCGTGACAAACCGTGACATAGGGGGGTGGGGGGTGGCTGATTTGTGACATCACGTTTCATATGCCAATTTTGTCAAGATTTGTACAAATTCAAAAAATTGCATAATTCGAAAAATTTGTAAAAATATAAAAAATGCACATAACGGAGGATTCCACAAGCTTGGCCTGGGGCTAAAAATAGTAGAGAAGACAAGCTTTGTTGACCATGGGGTCCGAAAGACCCCATGGTCTAGTTTTCATAATTTTCCGCAAATATTTTGCAAGATTTTCAAAACCCCACACAATTTTTAAGTTTGACAAGCTAAACCTACAAGAAGCGAGCATTAGGTTTCGTAGATTTTTGCCAAAAAATCAGTAGTATTCATATCTTTACCTGCAAGAAAGCTAAGAAACGTAATGCTCGCTTCTTGTAGTTGCAGCTTGTCAAACTTAAAAATTGTGTGGGGTTTTGAAAATCTTGCAAAATATTTGCGGAAAATTATGAAAACTAGTCATTCTGTATCCGCCAATCAGAGTACGAGTCGATTTTCGATTACGATTATGGTTATAGTTATGATTACAGTTATGGTTATGGTTATGATTATAGTTATGGCTTTGGTTATGAGTATGATTATGATTATGATTATGGTTATGATTATGAGTATGATTATGATTATGATTATGGTTATGATTATGAGTATGATTATGATTATGATTATGGTTATATTTATGGTTATGGTTATGATTATGATTATGATTATGATTATGAGTATGGTTATGATTATGATTATGATTATGATTATGGTTATGATTATGAGTATGATTATGGTTATGGTTATAATTATGATTATTATTATGATTATGATTATGGTTATGATTATGGTTATGGTTATGATTATGATTATGGTTATGATTATGGTTATGGTTATGGTTATGATTATGGTTATGATTATGGTTATGATTATGGTTATGATTATGAGTATGATTATGATTATGATTATGATTATGGTTATGATTATAAGTTTGGAAACAAGGAAAGTTACGTATATCGCCTCAAACGGTACTGTCCAATCTCATATAATGGCTTCGTCCACTTTTTTACGTACGTACGCATATCAACCTTATAGTACCTTTAGATATGTATGTCAAGCACCTTGATTCATTTACACCATGATCATGATTCAAGACTAATGAATCTACACATAATGTTTTTTCATCTCAAATTCGAGTAAATGTAGAACTTCAGTTACAAGCCAAGTCAAACATTACAAACCATTTGAAGAAAGTCATTAGGCTGTGAGGTGTCGCACCTCACAACCCAATGACTTTCTTGAAATTACAATGCAACTTGCAATGCAATGCAACTTGCAATTTCTCCCATACTTGGGAGAAGTGGGAAGGTGTGAACTTGGTCTATCGTGTACATTATACATGAAACTCTAGCCACGATGGGTTTCAAGCATATTTTGTACACGTCATTAAAGCTATGTATGGATATTAATTGACCTAGGTAATTTTTATGTTAACATATTTAATTTATGCTAAATAGTATTACCCCTTCCTCCTTACTTCTGTCAGCCCAGCCAACAAGTTTACGGTGGAGTACAAGGGAATCGGACGAGGTGTTGCACTCGGATTTTTAAATAAAAAATGCGGAAATGCACTGAAACACATCTCTGGCATAATAAATTAACTTTTCCAGTGTGCCCCCACTTGGGGTGCGTAAATCCACAAGGAAAGGTCGGAAAATGTGTTTGCTTGTTTTTTATTGTTTTTAACATTTTTAACTTGGGTTTTCCCGTTATTAATGTATGGTACACTACTAGTTAATGTGTAGTGTATATAAAATACGCTTCACACAAAATGAGGCAAGGTGAGACAAAGGTGGGGGGGGGGAATTAACAATATTTTACACTATTTAACCAGACCATGTTATGTTATGCATAATTATAGAAACAATGCACGATGTAATATTACAAAGATCGATATGTAAATTGCTTTCAGGATGCACCTCTGCTTTGAAGGATATTTGCTTCTATACTTAATAGCGGGAAAACCCAAGCTAAAAATGTTAAGAACAAGAAAAAACAAGCAACACACATTTTCCGACTTTTCCTTGTGGATTTACGCACCCCAAGTGGGGGCACACTGGAAAAGTTAATTTATTATGCCAGAGATTTGTTTCAGTGCATTTCCGCATTTTTTATTTAAAAATCCGAGTGCAACACCTCGTCCGATTCCCTTGTACTCCACCGTAAATTTGTTGGCTGGGCTGACAGAAGTAAGGAGGAAGGGGTAATATGTATTAATTATGGCTTGCGGGAGGTCTGAAATTATAATTTGAAAATTTAAAATAAACGTCCAATATATTGTTAATCACAATTAACATGTTATGACAACATGAAGACATTGCTCACAATTAATTAATTAATAGCTTATTACGTCATGTAAATTTCTCTTCATAAGTACTTACATCAATCATAACTAAATTAACCCGAATACAAGGTTTTGAATCAAGGGGAACATTAATGCTTAATTTTTTTTTATTTCTGTGAGTGTAAAATGTATTCGCAGAGTTTGAATAATCGTAGTTACATCACTAGCAAGGAGAGGCTAAACGACCATATTGATACTTTTTCCAAGGTCCGTCTTATTTTCTAAAAATAATTACTTTTAAAGAATTCTGCACTTCACAAGAGAGTAATCCACTTTTTTTTGGCAATTCACAAGTCAACCTCTCTTAAGGTTCATGTGTACCTCGAAGATGTACCAACGACACACTTGTCATTTCGAGCGTATCAGAGGGTACGTGATGTAACCAAGGGGATCCCGGGGTGGAACTGAATATGGGTCAATGGGCTTATCGGGACCTACGGGTTTGGGAATCCCCATATATGTATAAACCGGTTCAGGCGGACGATTAAGAATATCTGCATCCCAAGTAGGAGTGGCCTCATAACGGAGTGAATTCCCGCTCAATCCTAAGGCGCCGTATTGATGCAGGATATAGTAAATGAGTAGAAATCTATCCACTTGGGTATGCCAGGGATCCCGCCGACACTCGACTAGCCATGGGTACTGCTTCCCAGCACGGTCCCCAGTCCTCATAACTATCAGGAGGGATTTAAACTTGTTTTTTTTTGGTAATTATCCCCGTCGACGGGTTCATACTTAAGTTTCTTTGATTCAATTAAGAGTTGCCACTGAGATGGGGCGATCTCATCTCATCTTATTTGTAAATGAGATGAGACGAGATTAGTTGGCCGCTAAATGAGTTCAGAACTCATATGAGACAGCTCAAGTATGGTGAGTTGAGATGAGTTAGGATGAGACGATATGAGTTCAAATGAGATAGGACCATCTCACCAACCAATATTTTTCATTTATGAAGTAGAATAAATTTTCAATCCATATGACGATTATGACGTAATATAATTAACATATTCGCACTTTTTTGTCTTATTATGTGACATTTACCACCAATGTGGTACACATTTGTAACTGTTTAAAAAATTATTTTTTGACCTTGCATACTTTACAAGCTTAAAAGCTATATTACACTGGGACCACATTACTTGACTAGAGACGACGAATTAAGCCGTCTTACATTAAATGCCGAATGAATTTACACCATAGCTCGGTTAAAATCGAAATTACTACTTTTGTTTTAGAAATAATTATTTTACTAGGTTTAACACAAATGTGTTGTATCAGTTGCAATTTACAAATTGTAAGTTATAACTCATAATAGTGCTTCCGACACCACATTTACAACTTGTAAGTTATAACTGATAATAGTGTTTCCGACACTACATATAGAACTTGTTGGGAACCAGAATTTGGAACCACAATTCCAAAATCTGCAGGAATATAATAAATTATAGCCAATTGACACATAAATGAGCCATCTCATCTCATCTCCTGTCAAGACGAGATGAGACGGGAGTTTGTCTCATCTCATTTGGGCTTCGTCTCATCTCAATCACGATCTGTTAAGATCAGATGAGATGTGGCCTATCTCATCTCAATCTCGTCTCACGACAACTCTAATTCTATTACAACAAAATGAATGAATATTTTGGACTGATTAGTAATTCCATCACTTGAATATGATCGCCTTTATACCACGAATTTAAACTTGTAAAATCGTAAATTCTCAAATGAATAATAGTTTTATCGTCGGGTGTACACTTTAAACAAAATCAACGACAGCGGTGTCAATATATGACTTAACCGGAGTGGTAAAGATTTCATTACCGCACGGTTATGAATCTTTACAATTTTCTTTAAAAATTTTTACCCTTGGTCACGAAATCTTTTCCGTCGGAATAAACGAAACGCGGTTAAGTCACATATTGAAACCGCGAGGTGTTGATTTGCAAAATTATTTTGAGAGGGTACACATGAGTCCAAGTTAACTCATCAATGCCAAAGTTATCAAATTTGTAAAATTTTACCAGAATTTGCATATTCCAATATCCACTGGACATCCAGATTTTCTGGTCGTTTGAGACTTGAGCCTCCGTGGTCCAATCGTGGCAGCGATGACTTGTTATCTTTTCCAATCTCCCTTGTTTCTACAATATTTTGAAGCAACTCGTTCGTCGCTACTTGGGAGGAAACTGCCGGCAAGACGTGATACATTCCGAGGCCAAATATTACTCCAATTATGTTACAAAACTGGAATAATTTAGGTTTGATCAAGTAATTTACTTACAACATAGTGGGTCACTACTGTACCTGGTTATGGACTTACCGTAAGTTTAAATTTCATTCTATTTTATCGTACGTGGTGATCGGTTAATTTATGTATTCGCATATGTAGATTTTTAATGAGTGTAAATGTTCAGTACTCTTGGCGTCCAAAGTCGTCACACAATCAAAGTTGAAGGATTACTGCGTCAGATTCCCTCGTGATGTTATTGACTGCAAGATTGTCATGCATAAAATACAAAGTTGAGGATGCTGTACAGGTTTAGTAAGTACTCGTCTGCACTGTAAGCTACATATGCAAATGTTTATTTAGGGGTTATTTAAATTGGAAGACCGGTTGGTGCAGAAACCTTAATCACTCAACGTACATTGATGCACCCAGGTAAGTATGAACCATAGGGAATGGGTAAAAACATTGATACGAATCAAACATCTAGGTCAACAGAGTTCAAATTTGAGTAAATCATGAACATTGGGTTTGACCTCAACTCGAAATAACTTTTATTGCACCAGTTTTCCCAATTTTGTGTCCTAACTATGTATGTAAAACTGGGGAGCGAAGAATATATTAATGTATAAAACCCCTGCGCAATTATGCAAGTTTTGTAGGTGGTTATTGATGCTAAATTATATTGTGTTCGGAAATTTTTGTATCCAAGCATTCTTGAAACATTTATTTGATCAAATATTTCTTATTGAATAGATACACATGCACTATGCCAAGTTAATAAAATTACAACTCAATGAAAGAATCTATCCAAGAGTTTAGAAATTTTATGTTTTCACACACTCTAAGAAACTGGGTGACAGCGGCGATCACCGCGCGAGCGGAGATAGCAACTGTCACCGTCACGGTGATAAATCTGTCACCAAAATCGGTCACCACTGCTGGTGATAGTCACTATCACCGTTCCTGGTGGTAGCGTCTCTGCACGTGACTCTCAGAGTGGCGAGTTTGTCCTACTCCACGCACCAGCAGTGAATTTGTAAAAGTGCCAGAATTACTTCGTATGTGTATTTTTTTATGAGGAAAAAATAAATAATTCACCCAAATATTTGTAAATTTATTTACAGGTAAAAAACTCTAACAAATTTAAATTTTAACCAATTTTAGCAACCTAAATTGTGTTTCCTTTCTATGTATATCAAGAGAACTATGTGGACGCCAATATTCCCCCGAAGGACGAAGAAATATTTATTCCCAGCCGTCATCCCTGTTATTTTTTTTAAATAATAATAATTAACCGTTGTAACGGTGGAAGTAGCTCACCCTGTGAGAATTATTTTGACATAATTGTCCACCAATGGTGCAGAGTAGACGAATAAAATTGATATGCAATTTTGGTATAAGTTTGCATTAATGGTGCAGAACAAGCGGAAAAAGTATATACATAATTGTGACATAATTTCGCGCCGATGGTGGAAAATAAATGAAGGAAAACAAACAGTAATTTTGACACGAAATATTGGCAAATTCGAAGTAAAAATTATAGTCATTTCTTCCAGTTCTTCTGCACGTTTGCTGCGTTTTGCATCTGTTCCCTCAATTGTTTGGCACCATTTTGAGTCGCCGATTGTTCGATATCAGTGGTGCTAATAAGTCGGTCAAGAACGCCAATAACTGACTCTAATTAGCATGAATTGGTGCAAAAGAGTCGTTAACAGACAGACAGACGGACGAACAGACGGACGGACAAGAGGAATTCAATAGCTCCTCTGCTACACAGGGTGAGCTAATAATTAAGGTAAAAAGTATGATTTTCATTAATGATGAGTTTTCTATGTCTGACAAGATGTTTAATGTGGTGAATCATCAGTAATAATATCTTTTTGGAGAACCTAAACTGTCCTATCCCAGTACAAGAGGTATTTTAATAAGAAAATACTTATAAATTAAATTGAGTAGCACATTTATTGCAGCTGTAATTAATATTTTTTTTGCCAGGTCATCCATACTTTAATTGATGTCAGGCCAGAAGTAACGAACAAAATTGTCGATAGTACAGCAGCTTCAAAAAGGTCTGAGGAAAGTTTGTCCAAATTAAAGGGTAAAGTTGAAAAATATAGTTATGCAAGTTTAAAGTATTAAATGCTGGGGTTAAATTATTATTTCTCAATAAAAAACTAAATACAATAGATAAATATGAGATTTTTGTGAAATGTGAAATTATTTGCACTTATTCATCACCTGACAGTGACAAGGGGAGCTAAAAATGGTGGTGGTCTATCACCAAACGGTGATAGCAAATATTGATGATTCTACAACCATCCAGTGGTCGTCTATCACCATGACGGTGATAGAAGTTTTTATCACCGTCCGGTGGTAGATTACCACTATTCCGGTAGAGTCATATATAGTCACCGCTCGGTGACTATCCGGTGATAAAATTTTTTAGAGTGCAATTTTTAGTTAAATTATACAATAATCAACAATAAACTTTACAATTTTGGAATTGCTATTTAGAACTGGGCCCCATTCCACCACCTGGCATTTTGAACTCGTTGTAAAATCAAGAATGTAGTGTTGTATTTTTATTAAGTTATTTAACTACTTTCATCACGTTGAAGGTCCGCCTGTCAAAGAAACCTATGCCTATTTCATAATGAATTGCCCAGTGTGCTCAGGTATTTTTTAGATATTTAGACAAAGTTTGAGCGCTCACACCACGTAGCAAAAATAATAGTTTGGAATTAAGTTTGAGAGGGAATATAATCAATATTTACCTAGTAGAAGGAATTTTAGAACTTTTCAGAATGTCGGGCAGAATGAACCGAATGGGCCACAATAATAACGCAACTCCATCAAGCTGGGTACCGCGCACGCAGGATTTTCAAATTATTGAAAAATATAGGTTTAAAGCGATCAAAGGTGTATAGTATTATAAATCGATACTATGAGAGGAGGGAAGCTCGAGATGGCGGATATAACTTCCGCCGGGTCGATCACCGGCGGTTCCACTGGGCTATTAGGTGGTTGGGGGTAATCAGTCGGTTCCGGATGTGACGGGTGGTTTGCGACGAGTGCATCAATTGTTTCTTGAGTCCTAGGTGCTATCGTGTTATCGGAGCAAGCCAGCCGAATTGCCCCCGGACATCACCATCCGCCAGCTTGGCCTCCACTTTCTTGGCCACACTTTACCTTTCTCGTGGGGGCTTGGCGGGAGGACGTGGGAGTCCCGTTAAAAAATTGAATATGACATAAGTATGCAAATCAATTACAACGTACTGTGCTTAGGAGAAGTATTTATTCATTTATAGAATATATCTACTATGTTTTGCATATGTATGTCACCGTATTATTGAGCACAAGAAAAGTTTGGCTCAAACCAGTCCCTGAGACGCATTAAACCGTTTGTTGTTTCTGGTTTTAACCGATTTCGAGTGTCTGTAATGACTAGTTTCGCACCAGAATATGCTCGTTCGGAAGGGGAACCCGTTGCGGGGATCACTAGAAAATCCTTTGCCATTTTTGAAAGGTTGGGGGACACCGATTCGTTTGACTAGACATTAAAAATAAGAATAATAATTATAATTATACTCCGTCTCGCCCTCTACATCATAGTTATACACATGTAGTCACACCATCTCACACCGTGGGTCGCTTTATTTAGAGGCAAAACGTTTTCACCTCTCATACTGCCAGCATGCCGTGGCACACTTCATTGCATCACAAAAGCTCCGTGGGTCCACACATTCGCTTTTGTGCTCCAGAACACAATTAAAACTTTTTAATTCTTTTCAAGATTTGGTATCAATATTTATAAATTTTCAATTTACAAAGTTTATTTACATATTTCACTAACTAATTGTGGAATATCTTTTACACAATTTGTGAATTTTTAGAAAATGCCGGATTCATCAGATTCTTCGTCGGTAAAATCATCACGTCGGGACAAGAAACGGCGCAAGAGAGACCGCAAATTTCGTCGACTGGAAAAACAGGTCGGGAAGTTGCTTCGCCGTGACAGAAAACGGAAACGGTCTCCTTCATCGTCTGATGACTCATCTCAGACAAGTAAACGCTCCAGGTCTCGACTGCCGTCGCCATTTTTAGACCCTGGAAGCCAAGTCCCATCCAATGGGCAATCTAAAGTCCCATCTAATGAGCAAACCAAGATCTCATCTAATGGGAATAAACAGATTTCATCCAATGAAGATCTTAATATAATGTCAACTGGAAATGGTTCATCCAAGTATGATACTCATTCCAATCGAGAACACGGACACGATGACGATGTCCTTATCTTGAATGTACTGGACACTGAAACAACAGCCCTTTTAGGTGACTTACCTAAACCTGTGGCTAAGATGGGAGCGAAACTTCATCCCCAAATTACCGAGCGATGGAACGCAATCGCAAAAACTGGGCTAAGTAAAGAGGAACGCGACAAGCTCCTCGATAAGTATCCTATCCCAGAGGGACTGATTATTTCCGGGGCCAAGATTAACCCCGAACTAACATCGGCTACACCGGATGTTGTTAAACTTAAGGATGACAGTCTTCGCCGAATTCAGGACCATATTGCTACAGCTTCCGCGGCTATTGGCAATGTCCTTGGCAGCATCTTGGACGATAAGACAGAACTTACTCGTCATGACCTAATCTCAAAGATTAGTGATGCCGGCAGATACCTCCTTGGCACTCAATATGCCCTCTCCACATATAGGAGGAAGCAAGTAGCTGCCCGGACTCCACCTATTTGGTACTGATTTATCTAATGAAATTAAAAGGGTCAAGTCGTTAACCAAGGTTTGTAACGAGATCGCTCATAAACCTGGTTCTGACAACTCAAAACAAGATCGACCTAAGGAGAGCAAGAAGCCTGCTTATCACACGGCTTCTTTAAACTCTACACGACCGCTCCCGAGCTCGGAGTATCGAACCTCCAAGAGGAGCAATCGGAGCGGTCCTCGTCGCCATCATTAACTCCTCTTCAGGTGAGTTCACACGCTGGACGATTGAAACAATTCTATCACGTATGGTTGACACTCCCAAACGTGGGAAAGAAAGTCTTATCCATTATAAAAGGCCACAAATTGTCTTTTAAAACAATCCCAAGGCCAACATTCCTTTCTAATAAGGAAGTTTCCATTCAAGAGGGAAAAAATATTGACACTTCTATTTGCGAACTGATGCAATTGGGCGCAATAGAAAGATGCAATAGCGATTCTGACCAATTTGTATCCCCAATATTTTTGGTTCCAAAACCAGACGGGTCTAAGAGATTTATCATTAATTTGAAACGTCTCAATGAATACCTCCAGTACTCCAAGTTCAAAATGGAGGATCTTAGGTCTGCAATTCGTTTAATGGAAAACGACTGCTACATGACCACCATTGATCTAAAAAACGCTTATTATCTAATAAGCATTAGAAAAACTGATCGTAAATTTCTCCGATTCAGTTGGAAAGGTCAATTGTACCAATTCAATTGCCTTTGTTTTGGCTTAAGTTCAGCCCCAAGAACCTTCACTAACATTCTGCGCCCAGTCATGCGTTACCTCCGCAGGTCTGGCATCAGGAATGTCGTCTATTTGGATGACCTCCTTACAATTGGAAACAGTTATGAAAACTGCTTGTCAGCAACCGTGTCGACAATCAGGATTTTGGAAAAGTTGGGATTCATCATTAACTATGATAAATCCAAACTAATCCCATCAAAATCTCAAAAATTTTTGGGATTCATTCTCAACTCCTCCAACATGACCGTTAAATTGCCTGCAGAACAAGCTATGCATACAATTCATCTTTGCAGAAGGCTTCTTGCTAAAAATACTTGCACAGATCAACAACCGGCAGAATTGACAGGCACACTTGTTGCCTGTTTTCCAGCAATAAGATATGGTCCGTTGCACACCAAACTATTTGAGCGTACAAAATTCCTGACTCTGCTACAGATGGAAAATGATTACAAATCAATTATTTTCTTAAACGAATACATCCAAGAGGATGTTCGATGGTGGTTAACATCATTAACCAACCCAGTCTCTCCTATACGAACAGACGTAATAAACTATGAGTATGTTACTGATGCGTCGTTATCCGGTTGGGGAGCACATTGCAATGGAGTTGCGGTGAGCGGTTTATGGGACGAGGATGATAAAAAGTTATCCATAAACTACTTAGAGCTCAAAGCTGCTTGGTATGGACTTCGCAGTTTTGGCAAGTCCTGGTCTAATGGCAATATCTTGCTGCGAATAGACAACACTGCCGCTCTGAGTAATATCAATAAAATGGGTAGTATTAAATTTCCCCATTTTATGAATCTCACAATACTAATTTGGAATTTTTGTGAGTCAAGGAATCTTTGGGTCATTGCGTCATACATTCGCTCCAAAGACAATGTTATCGCAGATTACTACTCCAGGGTGACTCAGACCGACACTGAGTGGAGTCTATCGTCTCAAATATTTGACAAGATTGTGATCCAGATTGGTTCGCCAAGCATTGATCTTTTTGCAACTGTCCAGAATGCAAAATGCCAAAATTATGTTTCCTGGAAACCAGACCCATTTGCATCCAATATTGATGCTTTTACTTTTTGTTGGACCAACTTAAAGTTTTACGCTTTTCCTCCGTTCAGTATGATACTACGGGTTTTAAGGAAAATTAAGACAGACCAAGCCACTGGCTTAGTCGTCGTCCCCAATTGGGAGTGTCAACCTTGGTTTCCACTATTCAAATCCATGTTGGTTCTTGAACCACTATTATTTGAACCTAATAAATTTCTTTTGCAATTCGGCAGTTCTCCTCACCCTTTGTACCGTACACTTTCACTGATGGCAGGAGTCTTGTCAGGGAAACGCTCAAGTCACGAGGACTCGAGGATTCTTCTGACACCATCATCAACTCACTCTCCAATTCGACATGGAAACAATATGAATCATCTTTAAGATATTGGTCAAAATTTACAAATCAAAGACAACTGTCTATTTTTAAAACCTCCCCGGAGGTCGTGGCTTCTTTTCTAACCCAAATGCTCAAATCCGTTGGATATAGTTCAATCAACACAGCACGTTCAGCCCTATCCTTATTGGCCACTAATTCTGAGTTCGAAAACATTGGGTCTAACCCCGTTGTTAAACGAGTTATCAAGGGCGTGGCGAAGGCTAAACCACCAAAACCAAAATATGACGTAATATGGGACGCAAGCACCGTCACTGACTATCTGAAAACTCTTTGGCCACATGACAGTTTATCAATCTCGGTCCTGACTGAGAAATGCGTCACATTGCTTGCCTTGTGTACCGCACAACGTTGCCAAACATTATCCAAGATAAACATTTCTAATATAAAGTTTTGCTCCCATCAAATTCACATTTTTGTGACCGACAGCGTTAAAACGTCCGGACCAGGAAAATTCCAACCGCATTTAATCCTTCCGAAACTCGAAAGTCATGAATATTGGTGTGTTATGACATGTTTACGAGACTACATCTTTCGTACTCAAGATATACGAACTGGTGATGAATTATTTCTGGGCTTATCAAAACCACATCGACCGGTCGGATCTCAAACAATAGGACGATGGATTAAAAACACACTATCTAATAGTGGCGTTGATGTAACCTTCTTTAAGGCTCACAGTGTCCGTCATGCTTCAACATCGAAGGCATTAAGTAACGGAACAAATATTGAGGAAATTCGGTCCTCTGCTGGATGGACACCTACGTCGTCCACTTTTGCAAAGTTTTACAACAGGCCAATTATTAATGATAATAATTTTGCTAAATCTGTTTTCAATATAAATTGATTCATCTGAAATTTGAAGTCTCCTTAGACTAATTAAATAAAATCTCACATTTTTCGAGATTCTCTGAACAACTACATGTGTATAACTATGATGTAGAGGGCGAGACGGAGTATAATTACCTAATTAAACGAACTTGTGAAGTTCGATTGTAATTATGGTCCGTCTCGCCCGAATACATGACTCCCACCCAACCCTCCCTGGAGTGATGTATTCTATTTTCGAAAAATGTCTTTAAACTAATGAAGTGTGCCACGGCATGCTGGCAGTATGAGAGGTGAAAACGTCTTGCCTCTAAATAAAGCGACCCACGGTGTGAGATGGTGTGACTACATGTGTATAACTATGATGTATTCGGGCGAGACGGACCATAATTACAATCGAACTTCACAAGTTCGTTTAATTAGGTAATTTTCATAGGAACTGAAAATGCAAGTTATCACCTTCCACCAATCCAAGCCATTGCATAAAACTCCATCCGTCTCGTATGGAACTGGAATTGAGCTGATATATTGGTCGAATATAATACAAAGTGTACAGTGGAGTTATTCACTCCATTTGCTAATAAGGAGGAACAAAAATTATGAAGCAAATCAGTAAATAATTCAACTCCTAAATCGATCGATATCTCTTACTCCAGTCTGCTCAAAATTTGTAAACGTGGGACTAATTTCGTGATGTGTAGGAGTAAATTTGACATTGCAGTCTTTAATTATGTCTAAACCATTCGAATTGTTATGAAACTCTTACATATGACGCCATAGACCGCTCCAGGTACTAATCATCGTATTACAAGATTCACTTGGACAAATAATACTGTTAAAATTCACGTGGCCGTAAATATGGACATACTTATAATGATCCCTAATTGCTAAAATTGTATCAACATATTTGAAGCACTCATGGCACTTAAACATCTTGATCAAATACACTTCCTAATTGTGTATAAACTTGCTTCACTTTTCTTGGAAGTGACGTTGTCTTCACGTCCAATTTATACACGTAGACCTGGATAAACTTCCAAATTCCAGATAAGCTCTTGTCGTACTCGGTTGCAAAGACGTAGTGGGCTTTGAAAAGTGTGTCAATGGCTTGAGTGGTGTTTAACGCAGGATGCGACGATCACAAATTATGAAGAAAGAATTCAAGTCCTTCGTCGTATCTCGCAGGCAAACCAGATTCGGCTGACCTTTTATCGATTTTCCAAGTGTCTAGGATTGACTGGAGTGGAGGGCCGGTCTGTAGCATAAATAATATACTAATAAATTTAAAATATGTGTGATTTTAATTTTTACCTTAAAATAAGATAATAAGAGGTCCTTGGCGTCATCAGTTTTGGAGCGGCTCCCCTTTCCTTTTCCTTTGGGGGGATGAGGGACAAAAGACAGAGCAAAACAGCAATATTGACGTCCCGATTTCCTAATAATTTGGAAAGTTTTATGTTAGTAAAATTGTTGCAATAATTTAATTAGCAATTTCAAGACTTGAGGCTCACCTGCGCGTTCTAAAATGAATTTCTGTAATCCTGGAGATTTTGAAATTTCGGTCTTGCTTTTTGAACAATTTTAGGACCTGCTCATGGCCAGAGGCGAAGGAAGTTGTTGGATGAGTCTTGATGCATAAGCTCGAAATCATAATTAATCTGTGTAAATTGAAATTTACTAATTAATTGCCAAAATCCTTATAATTTGCAGGGATATCATGACAGAATTAAAGTAAAACTTAAATTAGAACAACTTCCTTGCAATTTAAAATTTTAACATTACATAGCAGAAAATTGCAGTTCAAAAATTTGCTAATTTTTGCTGTTTTCATGTTTTCTTGCTAGATTGTATAATTACTCCCTCTACCCAACCAATATCAGACGAGTGCAAATAATGTAAAATGGATATGAACTGCTAGCGATTCAATCAAAAGCATCTGAAGATATTGCAAATTTCATTTTATATCTTATACTTGTGCCAATGCCAATTCTGAAAAATGTGTACGATAAAATATTAAGATTTACTCGAACCGAACCTAGGAATTCTTTTTTTGTAAAAGTATTTATTTTCTAGTTTTTATTCGGATTTAATTTCTTTACCGCACTTGACCAACATTGATATAGGCTTCTGTTGTTTTCATTGGTTTTACTCAAAATGTAAAATGAAGTGAAATGTTTTTCCGTTAATTGCACATTTCCAAGTATATTGTGACACACATTTGTGCAGAAGTTTTTTTTGCTCGGTTCACTTCACAATTAATTATTCCTATATGTACGTTTTTACAGTAACAACGTATTTACATACTGAACTTGCGGTTTTTACAAACTGTCGTTATCCCAACGGAATGACTCAAATAATTTCCACAAAAGTAATTTAGAGGAAATGGAACTGTTCAAACTTCCTCTTCGACAGGTGTTATTAATTAACGTATTCTTATAAATAATTACCATTTCTACTAAAACTTTCTACTAAAAGTAGTTTCACATCTCACATACAAATTTTTGTCATGGACTGGCCGACGTGTGTAAAAGATTGGATATTCCTCGTGGAAAACATCAATGTTAAATCCAAAACTAAGCATTTTTTTTGCAACGAACTTCAACGAAGCGACAGTATTATTTTCTGTCATCAATGTAGATAAGCTTGAGATGGAGTTAACCACTCCAAAATCTCCTATTTAATTGTCACAATTACTTTCGAAAAAAAAGCATCATAATCGATTTGTCTCCTCGGGTACCAAGTATCATTCATTCTCAGAAAGAAATTCATGAAGAAACCATCACAAATTATATTACGCATATTAGAAATTATCCTTCTTCGTGATTATCATAATTTAAAGACCGTTCTTAACATTTAATTAGGATAATGGTTGACATTAAAATTAAATTTTAAATACCCTCTCCCCCTTGTTTGAGGGGATATGCATACATAATCATTTTGGCAATCCAAGGATAATACTCGGATTTGAATGCGACCGCCATCATTCCATAAAACCTCTTGACAAAATTCACATATGCAAAATATCTCCCAACTAGGATTTCATTTAACCCTTTAACATGTAACCAAGACAATACTAGTTTTATAAGAAATTGCATAATTCGGGAGTAAGACAAAAGTCGTCCTGAAAAATCGTCATCATGGCGCGGAAGGAAGACAATTGTCGTTTCTGGGAGGTCGTTAATTTTCACCATTTTCTCTCCGCGAACTAAAATTTGTTGCAATTTTGAGGCATTTCCCCAATGCCAACACCATGATAAATTTGAACATTTTCTTACCGGAAGTCAGATGTTTCCCAGTATAACGGAATGTTAAATTTTAGATTATTCAGTTTTCAGAGTTTTATAAAAACTACTGAATTTCTCCCCCCACGCCATGACCACAGAAAATTTTTAGCGTCCCCGAATTAATTCATTTTCTTATCGTGAATCATACAGGTTAAAGGGTTAATTTTACACATTATAAAACGAACGTCTACAGAAGATTAATTTCTTAGAAAAAATGCATAAATCTGGACATAAGTTTAACTTCAGTACGAAAACTGTACTTTTATTCAGTTTGATATATCAATTATTGAACGAAAACAATTCATCCTTATACAAAATCCATTAAAACTTTATTCCAACTAAATTAGATGTAGACACCTACCCACATTATTTTTCATTTTCTGCCAGTAGAAACTTATTTATTAATCCCGCAACTGAATGAGGTTCATTTAGATGAACGTAATGATTCCCCTCCACCTCCACATATTCAAAAGATGCACACCTCTCCCTATAATTATCCATCATTGCTCTGAATTCTTCCTTGCTCACCTCATACGGTGGAGCATCTTTCGCCCGAATAATCAGCAAATGGCAGCGCATCCCTTTCAAAATATTTAGTGCGACGGCATGGCTGAATTGGTATAATGGTGTAACCTGCAGTCGTGCATCGGCGCGGAAGGATACCTTGTTTTCGCCAACTTTAATTGTCCCCCGTGGCATCAGGGATTTTGCCGCGGTCACGGATAAACTAATAAAAAAAATTCACATAATTCCAAAAATAAGTCCGTACTTATCACCCACCCACCCACTCACCTCCCATCCGTAGCGGAAATTAATTGCTGCACGGCTTCCTCGTATGAATAAGTCCGACTGCATTTCTGCTTCTGCTTTTCCTCCAAGGAAATCAAATATTCAATCGACTGCATCATATTCCTGGGTGTGATTCCTTCCTCATTGCTGAAGGGTTTTATGACATCCAGCATTACCAGCTTATCAATTTGGTCGGGGTACAGTGAGGCAAACAGGGAGCCCCACCCACCCCCCATGCTATGCCCAAGGATGGAAAATCTCCCCCATTTGAAATATTGCGTCACAATTTTTCTCAAGGTGATTATTCCATCCCCGAAATGATAAGGGATGCCAGGTGGGAGGTTGGAAGAGCGGCCGTGACCCGGTATTTCTATGGCTACGAAGTAAAACCTTCTCGACAACAGGGGAACGAGACGGTCGAACGTCCCTGGTTATTTGAATACTTTATTACACATGGATAACTTATTTTATCATAAAAAATTATCCACACCTGCGTTATCCATCCAGCCGTGAATTCCTAGTATAGGGAAATTTCTCGGATTTCCCCAACATTTCGCAGACACGTGACCCCAGGCCGTGGGAATTCTTACTTCTTCCGGTTCTGTAACCGACATTGGAATCAAATAAATTGTCCGTCGCCAGAAGAGGTTTGGCAAAGAATGAGCTTAGTTATATTCAGCAACCAACTTTTCAGGCTGACCGGATGGACATGGTTGGAAGCAATTCGAGTTAGTTAGATGGAAACAGATATCAATTTATGTATGTACTAGAGGTGAGCTGGATCGTCATTTTGTTAGATCCGATCCATCAAAATCCGATTCACCCAGAAAAATTGAGATCCAATCGATCCAAATCCAATTGGGTCAAAAAATTTCGGATCCGCTCCATCCAAATGTCATTTATTCAAAAAAATTCAGATCAGATCAACTCGTTAAAAAGCATTCAGCATGCAAATGTAGTTGAACTTATTTGTAAATATAATCAGCAGAAATAAACTGCTGGCTGAATAAATCATACTATGTTAGAGTAAATTTTATTGGAGCTGGATATGTATCGCTTGTGTGTGTGTGTCATGCCAATAAAGGAATGGGCCGGTTAGTGTATCGGATTCCTTAAAATTGTACTCCGATATAAGCGTTGCGTGGATGAAATTATATCCAAACCGACCATATCCAAAGTTTGGATATGGTCGGTTTGGATTCCAAACCCGATCCCCCGAAAAAAATGAGGATTGGATCGGGCCATGCATTATTCAAAAAATGGATATCCAGCTCACCTCTGCATATTATATACCCACCTTCAAAATCTTGGCATGTTGCTTTTCTGCTCCAGTATGGAAATAATTGGTATCTTCAGCAGCACGATAATTAATATGCCCTGCTGCATATCATATTTTGTAAACTGGTGCGTGAAGTGGAACGGAAAAAGTGGAGTCTCAACAGCGAGGATACACCGGCACAGACAGGTAGCAAGATCTTCATACATCTGTACCAAATACACCACTCAATGCAGTTCAGTCACATTCTAGTAAATTGTGATGGTTTGTGTATCATATCTGGTTGCGCAGTCCAACATGTACATAAATATGTACACTCTAAACAAAATTTTAATGAATCATTACTGCGCGGAGTGCATATATGACTCTACCGCGATAGTAATGATTTGGTATTAAAACAATACTATATGGTAAAAAAAGTAACACAAATTAGGGTTAAAATTATTACCAAAAAGTGTTATTTTATTACTAAATCTATACCGAACATGGTGTAAATTTTTAATTCCGTCACGGTGGAGTCATATATCTACTCCGCTGGTTTTTTTATTACCAAGTTTCTAAGAGTGTACATACTAGCAGATGGTGCAATGCAAACTTTTATATTTCATGAAGGATTGCTACATCAAGATTGTCACATTTCTACATCAAATCTGAAATTATTTATAAAACTTTAAAATCCACGAAACTTTCTACACTTTATATTTCAAAATTTCGAAAAATACTGATCAGGCGGGTCATTTTACGATCAACAATCAGAATTGGTTGCTACAAAGTATAGTTATGAATTCAATATGGTACTCAAGAGAATTTAATTATGGTCTCAATGAGGTCATCCCGTTAGCAGTGATCGTTACATGAGATCTTGGAAAATTATAAAACGAGAATAATGTGTTTTTCACCAATTTTTTTACAAAATGATTCTTTGTTAACAAATTGTATGCTCATAGCTAATTAATAATGCGCACTTCAACCAGAACAAAATATATTCTATATCAAAATCGTCGAAATATTTATATAATTTTATACATGAAAAATGTTTCCGAAATATTTTATCAATATTTATGAAGGAACGGAGTAAAAACATGAATTATTAGAGGTTTTTGCGTAATTTTGTATACATTTTATACTCAAAATTTACGTATTTGAAAAAAAATATATTCAAGGATCAAAAAGCAAAAACAAAATTTTAGGAATAAAAGTTTGTTAAAAGACTAACTCAATTATTCTCGGGAGCTATCAATGTGATCGCGATTTCAAGGATAAGACCGGTCGGCCCCGCAGGTATGCAAAATAAATTACAAATACATTGGGGGTGTTCACGTCAACTTCGTAAATAGCATAAATTTACAACAATTACAAAGATTCCGCCGTGTAACCATGGATATTTCCTACTTTTCTACGACTCGGTGCCAAATATAAGTATTACACGGAAATATGAAGGAATCCTTCAATCTTAAAAGTATGGTGCGTGGGACACAACCGGCACCTCAGAATTATCCCTGGTTAGTTGTTTAACGGTGGATTCGCAAAAAATAAGAGTTCCGCACTTTATTACCACACTCGTCATTCGTGTTAAGCGTTCCATGGTGGAATCTTCGTAAATGTCGTAAATTTACGCTAATTACGAAGTTGACGTGAATCCTCCCAATGCATTTTTATTTTGTTTTTCCACACCTACCGGGCCGACCGGATTAGGTTTAACTTTGCTTTTTTAATCATTCAATTTTTTAAATTTAAATTTAAAATTTAAAGTAATTTAAAATTAAAATTTAATTTAAATTTTTAACCTTTTTTTAAATATGTAAATTCTATCAATCTTAACGATTAAAATTGTGAGCGTCAAATGTATACAAAATTGCGCAAAAATTCCTGAAAATTCCTGTTTTTACTTTATTCCTTCATAAATATGGATTCAATATTTTGGAAATATATAAAATTCTATAATTATTTCGACGATTTTAAAATATATTTTTTTTCTGGTTGAAGTACGCATTAAAAATTAAGTATGAGCATAAAATTTGTTAATAAATAATCATATTGTAAAAAGAAAGTTGGTGGTAAACATATTATTCTCGTTTAGTAATTTTCCAATATCTGTTATAACGATCAGTGCTAACCTCATTGAGACTATGATTCTCAACTAAAATTCTCTTGAGTGCGAAATTGAATTCATAACTACATTTGGTAACAACTAATTAAATTTCTAAGATTTAATTAACCTGGCATAGTTTTCCAGAGGAAATATTATATTTACTAGTATTCAATTTGTTCTTGGAGACTGGGGCATATCAATCAAACTTAATGCATATATCAATACCCTCGATAATTTACAATCAATGAATATTATCCAACACTATTTACATAATTAATTTATTTATATAATTAATTCCAAAAATATTTTATCTATGTACGTAAATACCCATCTTTTTATCTTTTCTAACAGTCTTTGTATCTATGAATATGATCCAACACTGCTTATATATATTTTAATTTTATATACATAAATAATTCCAAAAATAGTTTATCTAAATACCCAGCTTTTCATCACTCTATGTAATCCTTCGTTGCCTATCACCTCAATACAAATTTTTTTTAAATTTTTTTACTCTCATTCAATAACGGCTATCTTCGTGGTGGATGAGTAAATAAAATCATGCATAGTAATCTTGTAAATGGCAACTTGGCAAAATTTGTAATAGGAGACTAATGAAATTCTTGTCTAACTACGTATGTAAATTGAATGATGTTCTACATATTATTATCAATGGGGACGAAATCCATTAAGTAAATTCTTCCCAAAGGCAGTTCACTACTCATTATCACAAAAAATCCATTACTTTTCTCACTCCAGGAGCAGGAGGGTGTAGTCTCAATCTTCCTTCTTGGCATGACTCGCCTAATTTGCATACCTGAACTAATAGCTAAACGTGTCGTGTAGTGTAGGTAGGAACAAAGACAGGCTGATGTTCTACATACTACAGATCAGTGTTTCTTTTTGTGCGCAGGAAATTATTTTTATGCATGCAAGGTGCATAAAAACGCATAAAAATGTACGAAAATGCATAAAAGTGCAAAAAAACTAACTGAAATCCAATTTATGCAGAGAATTTCATAGTTTAAAGAAATTTTATATTTTCTTACCCTCCAAAATGTGAGTATGTAAGTATTTTTCATTCACTTTCAAAACTTTGGTTCATTTTCCGTATTAAAAAATGAAAAATTGTTTTGCACTAAAATGCTATAGCGATGAAGAAGATATCAAACAATAGCACAACGACTTAATAAAATACTTGGAAAAATTGGATTATTTCAATATTATTTTACCGCAAATGAGTTTCGTGCATTTTCATGCACTTTTCCGGATTTTTGATGGTTTTTATTAAAAACATTTTCGTGCACTAATTTCGTGCAGGTGTTATTTAACAGGAGAAACCCTGCTACATACATACCTACTTTAGTTATTCTATCAATGGGCATCTCCACAACGCATCTTTATTATTCCCATCCTCACTGCAAATGCCAATCGCTGCACAAAAACTGGATCATTTTTTAACCCAGGAATTGCCATGGGTTCAGTTAAACAATGACAGTCATTACTTTTCCTCAATCCCTTAAAGCAATCAATTTTTATATTAAATAATCCCATGGCGTCACGTCCAGTATAAAAGCCACCCATAATTAATCCAGAGAGACATTTGTTTTATTCCATCCATCACAGGACAACACAATGAAGGCAGTTGTAAGTTAATTTCGATTAAATACTCATAACATAACTGGGGCATGGTGAGACTTCAAATAATTTGGTCGTATTAAAATCATTTTTTGTAGATTCTCTTAATGATCGTGGGCGCCTCGCAGGCCCAATTCCTTTTCGGAAATAATCCACTCTGGAATGCTGGATCTGTTCACCAGGATCCCTTGTGGGCTGTTAGATCAGCATCTTCTGCCCCACACTGGGTTCCACAGGACACACCGGAGGTATGCAGGTCCAATTTAGGGGCCATCCATAAATTATGTTACGCAAAAATCGTTATTTTCTAGACCCCACTCCCTCCCCTTCTTTAACATGTGTTACATATGCACGATATCATTTGAGCCTTAGACCCCCCCCTCCCCCCCTCGCTTGACATAATTTACGAACCTTCCTTTCTCAGGGAATAAACTCATTTTTAAAAAACTTGGGTGAGCTACCAAGAAATATTTGATTTACGCATGTCGTGTGGGAAATGGGGACTTGAATATTCAGCCATGTTTTTTTTATGAGTTTATTTTTGTAAATTGGAATACAATTTATTTGCAATTCTCTATATATGTGCAAAATATTTTTCTTACTTATTATTATTATTCAAGTAGAACGAATATGGTGACAATTAGTTCCACGAGAATAAGTATTCCGCATTTATATAAATCTCTAATTTAGCCAGCAAAGAAATTAATGATAACCATCTAAATCTCGATTATGTTCAAATTAGGACAAAAATGTGCATAAAAATCAGGTGCAGGACACCCGAAACATGCATTTTAACCGGCTAAATTTACGTTTTAAAATTTCATCGGATTTAGCACCCGAACCAGTATGTAGTTAATACTAATTTTAATAGATAATTTTTGTTCCAGTATTTCGTTAAGCATTACTGGACATTATTACAAGTACAGAAATAGAAATACTGTAGAAATACTATTAAAAATCCCCTAAACAGATTCAAATTTAATGACTATATCTAATAAACAAGGTCATAAAATAGCAAAATTTTTAAGATGAAAGTTATTTGATAATAATAAAATAGGGTACAATAGTTAATATAATTTACAAGAATGATGGAAATACAATGTGTAATCTATGTAACTCAGACATTGAAGATTTATACTATTTTATATGTGAGTGCCCAAATTATAGTTTAATACGTAACATCATGAATAGTAAATTTAATAATTGTTTGCCAACAACCAGGAAAGATTTTGTAAAATTTGATGTAGATATGAATGAAACTAAACTAAAACATATTTATTACTACTTAACACAAGCGAACGAAGTACGAGAGACTCATTATATGGACTGACTAAATTAGACACATTTTTTTAGACGTTTTTATTTTTTCTGTAAAAATAGTAAGAATATGGTTAAGAATTATTATGTATGATTGTAAGGGCTGAGGTCGCATCAAACTTGAATTAATAAAACCTACCTACAGGGTTAGGAAAAACCCTGGGGTTTACCTCGAAAACCACTACCTCGAGGTTTTACTAGGTTTTTGGGTTTTACTGGGTTTTACTTAATGTTTGGGGTAAAATAATATAACTAACAATGCTAAGTCAATTAGTTAAATTGATGCATTTTATCAATATTTACCATGAAACTTCAATGCAAAATGCCAAGAGGACCACCAATAACGCTGACACAACTAAACTAGAGATTAAGCTGAAAAATAGTGACTTTTAGACCACGAATGGAAATGTCAAACTTACTAACACTAGAGTTTGATCAGTTCGCACCCTTCGGGAAAATACTTCCTTTTAAGACTACCCGTCAATATCCGTGCGTGCAAGTTCATGTTCATCATGATTTTTAATTATTCCCAACTAGGTTCAAACCGCCAAAGCCGCACATTTCGCTGCCCACGCCGAAGCTCGTTCCAGAGGGAAACGATCCCCACAATACCTTTTTGGAAATAATCCACTCTGGAATGCTGGCGCTGTTCACCAGGACCCCTTGTGGAACATTGGTGGATCCCAGCCTTTCGTTCCACAAGATACTCCTGAAGTATTTAATTAATTTTCTATATCCCAATGTGCATCATTTATAAATACATCAATTTAAACCACGATTAGGTCCAAGCTGCCAAAGCTGCTCATTTCGCTGCCCACGCTTTAGCGAGAGGAAAATAAATGAAGAATTCCAATTGTACCAACACTTTCCAGGAAATGAAGATGTTTGTTGTCTCTTTTATTTCATTCTTTGTATTGATATCCTGTTTCTTGATTTTTTTTAAAGATTCTAAATAAATCTGTAATTGATTACTTAAGTCGCATGTTATCAAATTTACATCCTCAGAGCGTCTTACTAGCGACTGTGATTGTCCAAGGGAGGCAGTGTTTTGAAACATGACCTAAGAACATGAAACATGACCTATAGAATTATTAGATTCTGTATGCAAATTAAGTTTAGCGAAAAACTGGAGAAAAATGCATATGTAACTGTGTATGTATTGGTATAGAGGTAAAACTCCAACCAACACAACTCGCAGAGTCGTTGCATGAAAATGAAAGCGCTAACGTAACATGACGTCGTTGAAGCTTCCAAAGGAGCTAAGTCGGTTTGAGCCTCGCAGATTTTTATACATGGACTAGATGCATTACTTCTATATTTAAAATTCCGTGAGGCTAAAACCGACTTAGCTCCTTTGGAAGCTTCAACGACGATGAGTATGTTTGTCTGGGGTAATGATACAAAGAAGAGAATTCCTTGTACTCAACTCAACTCAGGCTTTCAGTCACGGGCCATGAGAATGTCATTTTTTAGCTCCAATTTTTCCTTTGTTTCTCAACTATATGTAAACCGTAAGTTGTAAAATACAGATATGCAAATATTAGTAATTTGCATGATATTAGTTGGCCGTACAGGTATGCAATAAATTAGGTATATATACATGTATGTACATAGAAAAGAATGCAGTTTCTTCCCAACTTTTGTAAATCTAATTGTTGACTAAGCGGGAGACTTTGTACGAATTGCTGTAAAATTGCCCATTCCTATTCGGTCCGACCGCTCGTAATAAATACGGCCACAGGCCTGACGCCAATACTACTAAGAATTTTTTTTGTATGGAACTGCGCTGTTCTGCACCAGCCAGTTTTGCAATTCTCAGTTTGCCTCAACTTAGAGAACGTGAGATTGCAAATAATAAATTGTATCCTTTTGCCTCCAAATAATAAACATACTAATTGTAGTAGCAGTGCATGCATGCATAGTACGATTGTGCATTAGAAGTTAGCTTTGTTAATAAATGTTATTGTCGTTATAACCTTTAAACTTAACCAAGTCGTGTTCCGCGAAATAATTAGCATAATTGCAGCACACATAATTACGTACGCATATTAATCATCAAATCAAGTATTTTCCTAAATTCACCAATTTTCTCATGAACATAAATACAGTGGTTGTCGCAGAATAAGCGGTGACACATGCATAAAATTCAGCCAATTTGCACCAGGTTATTTTCATGCGGCCTTAATCTCCTGCTAACGTTTCCTGTACCAAATTCATCATCATCGTCATTATAAATAAATTGTACATGAGTGAGAGGACGGGGTGAATATGTAAATCACAACACACGTACATACACGTACTAAAGGCTAAAGGCTTTAGTACGCTTTTGCACTATAGGCTGGGGGTCTCAGCTTCCAGTAATACTTATCATTCCCAGGTAACACAGACGAAATAGAAAATGGTGATTTTTGCGTGAAATAAATTATCCAGGACCCCACCTGAACTGCTCATTCTGTTTGTTTTTATTTGATGATGCTTCATTTCTTTTGTCTAACAAGTTCACAGTACAACAACCATGTTCTTCCACAAGTGACAATTTATAATAAACAACTCTTAGGTACGTTATAACTACATATGTCTAAAAAATATTTCGTTTTATGTACTTAAATATAATTACCCACATACATAAATATGATTATCCACATCTATGTTTTTTCGAGATTAAGTTCATATTAGTGTCTCTGCTGAGTTACGAATATTTTAAAATGACATTATATTCCTACAAAAGGAGAAATCTGACCACAAACAGAATACATAAATGATTTCATCCACAAAAAAAACAGGTTTTCTAGATCGCGTTGCATTTCACAAGTCTTATACACATATTTACTTATGTACATAATATGGTCTGAATACATCTCAGATTCAAGGTACGTGTACCTCACTCACCCTGTGAAGGGACATATACGATCCCCATGTCAAATTACTAATGGTCCACAACAAAGGAAAGTTAGGGGACGTTCATAAATTATGTGACACGAAAGAGTGGAGTAAGGTTCCAATCGCGATATCTTGGGGTCTAGAAATCGTGATTTTTACGTGACGTAGTTTATGGTCGCCCCCCAATAAAGCATACCGACAATCATTGCACATTACATTAGTGAATCCTTCCTTCCGGTTTTCTTCATTAGTTTAATATTTTGTCGACATGTGTGCACTTGTCTGGTTACCAAATTAGTATTCAATCTGTTCACAAACATCTGAGAAATTTAGTAGATTCAATGAAGCTCTGTTCAAACTCAATATCAGTGCAATTTCTACTCATTTTAGTTTATATTTTCCCTTATATCCAGCCCAGCATGGTGAACAACTTGTACAAAATTTTACGTCAAGAAAATCTCATTCAGGAGCAGGAACACATATCAAAAAGTGATAATGTGCGCATGACCTATAATCTCCCCGCAGACTTGTCAACTGTAAGTGATTAAATGGATTTTTAATTTGAAACAGTTGTAAAAATGGAAAATAAATGTAATAGAAATTAATACCATATAATTCAAAATGTGCAAATGTTATATCAATTAATCACTGATGCAAATTTTTCAAAACAGTTATACATTACATATCGAGGATACATACTCATGACAAAATCTTACGTATTTATCATTAAGCAAATTTGCAAACATCAAGCAATTTGTGTCTCGAGGAGATTTGCACTACCTTATTGCGCATATTCATAGGTTGTGTTAGCCCATTTTAAGTTATTTAGTTTCCATGATCCTTCGTGATGGATAGGATGGGTTTTGCGAAATATTAACTGGTGGGTAAATGTGCGAACAAGCATCCCAATTTACGGGATATGCGAATATCGTCGTATATACGTGAGTACGCCCAATATTAAAGGAAACTAACGAAAAATTCAAAATGTGTAAAAATTACGGCAATTAATTAATTATTAATGTAAATTTGCCAAATTGTTATAAATTACTTACCAATTTTCTATGCTTATTTTGTAGCTCGAGCTGATCACGAGACGCGGCTATCCTGCCGAGACCCACGATATTGTGACTCAAGACGGCTATATTTTAATAACTTATAGAATTCCGTACGGAAAAAGGTCAAACAGTTTTAACCGACGCTATAATAAATTTCCCGTGTATGTCATGCACGGTGGCGCCATGAGCTCGTCGGACTGGTTAATTAATTTAGACGAGGACAATTGTCTCCCATTTATTGGCGAATGCGGGTAAATGGCAAAAATAAAATTAATTAGGAAACAATTATAATTACAATGTGAAATAATGAAGTCTAACACTCCGATCCTCATGGGACTAATTTCAATTTGTTCAAAGCTGACCCCCACTTTATTCTTTTCACAGTGCGCACAAAAAATACACTAAAAATAATAAAAAATAAAAAAATAATAATTTAGCGCGTGGAGAAATTTGAATTTTTAAAAATGAAAAATTTAAAATTTTTGTCAACCAAAATTTCAAATTTTCAAATTGGTGCAAACTTTACCGCCAATTCGAAAAACCAATAATGTTTTTGTTTCAGATTAAAATTATGTAGTCCCAACAAGATCTGAGTGTTACACTCAATACCTTCTCATTGTGAGTTATGTATCACGATTGGAAAAATAGTTAATATTTTATCAATTATTTTAAAACAGGATATGACGTATGGCTCGGCAATACAAGGGGAAAAATTTATGCAAATCGCCACGTAAATTTGACTCATCATCAAACAAAATTTTGGGATTTTAGGTAATTCATTTACATACCAGTTTAAAAAACATTCTCCATTCAAAATTCATTCATTGAAAATTCTATTTTCATTAATCATTGATTATTCATTCATATTGATGTTTTATCCATTCATTCTTTGTTCACCACATTTATAGAATTTCTAAATATGTAGTTACTTGGATGATATCTTTGTAGTATAATGCCCCTAGTTTTTGAGTTTACCACTTAACCTGGAGTTGCATCATCTTTTCTCTGGAGAGAGTGTGTTTTTTATTATTCGCTAACAAGTCTTGGTCTGAGTTGGTCATAGGTAGTCGTACTTAAATTTCTGATCCAATAATTAATTGATCTCTGATTAAATAAAGTCGTTAGTAATCGTAATTGTCTTTACTAGCTCGAGCTTTGATTTGTTGAAGAGAATCATAAATTTAAAGTCTTTAGTAGAAAGAAAAGTCGTAATCTTCATAATTCGGCGCGTTGCATTTTTGAGAGGAAACTTTCGAACGGGTAGTTTGACTGGGTTTTCTCAACAACATGTATTAAGCATTGACAAATAATTCATTCTGAAATGAGGAATTATTCATTCGTTATTCATACATTTAATGAATAATTCACTATTTTAATGAATTATTCATTTCCTGCTCAATGAATGAATTTGAACAGGTATGTTTTCAAATTCACAAATTACAAACTTATTTCACCCTCTTTTACTCCCTAGTTTTGACGAAACTGCAAATTATGACATGCCCAACTCGATCGATTACATCCTCGACGTAACAAAAATGCCAAAACTCCACTTTGTTGGGTACTCCCTGGGAAACACGCAATTCTTCATGGCCCTCGCAAATCAGCCAGAATACAATGAGAAAATAGGGATTCACATTTCCTACGCGGCCTCTGTATTTTTTGCAACTTATGCAGAATCCAATCGTCTTTTCGCTCTCGTTTGGAATCGTCCCTTACAAATATTGCAAAAACTTATTGGTGGGTTTCCCCTTCCTCCGCAAGGAATTGGGTTCATGTTGAATCAAATCCTGCTCAGAATTTGCAACCCAAATCTCGACATTCTAGGAGTGTGTAGGCAAATGTTGTTCCTAATTATGGGATTTGGACCGGAACAAATTAGCAAGGTAAGTAAATAGGACAGGTTTCAATTGTTTATTTTTGTTTATTTTTGTTTATTGTTTTCTTTGCTTCGATGAAGATACAATTTTAAAATTTTCCATTTTTAATTTTCCTTTTTGAAATTTTGAAATTTCTTAAATTTTTAATAATTTGTATATCTTAACTTCTACGATGAAACAATCATTGCTTAATTTTCATTTTGAATAATTTTTTTCTGCATATTCTTCGAAACTGAGCTCATTGAAAGTAAACCAAATAAACAAGCCAAATTGCGACCGCTAGTAACATCACGTTTTTATGGCGCGTATATCTTTCAAATTTTTGACTAATTAATTCTCAATTAATTTAGGAACAAACTCCCAGCATTTTGGGACACTTGATGACCCCCACATCCCTCAAGATGCTCGTCCAACTCAACCAATTTATGAAGAATGATCGCTTAAGTTATTATGATTATGGGGCCTGGCAAAATCTTAGGTTATACGGAACATCAACTCCACCTTTATACAATGTGCGAAATGTGAGAGCCCCTACCGCCCTGGTTCTCGCGCAAAATGACGTTTTTGCCAATGCACAAGGGTACGAAAGATTGTTGAAGGTTTTGCCAAATGTTGTAAATTCCTATACCATCCCTAGTAAAACCTTTTCCCACATTGACTTTGTTTACGCGAGCAATGCCAACGAAATGGTGTATAATCACACGATAGAATTAATCAACAAATTTTCTTATGTACATTGAACCGTCTTATCATGATAGTTTAAACATGATACATACAGAAACTCCTAAAAATCCGGTAGTAATATATGTACTCCGCATATTGAATGATTGCTTATTGCCCTTGTAATAACTCGTTACTCCCGAGTAAACTTTTCATTAAATAATTTAGCGGTAATAAATACATAATTGTAATTACCAGCTAGTGCAAACACACATGTATTGCGTTAGGGAGCGTGGTGGAGCACTAGGAAGCGTGGTGGAGCATTAGGGAGCGTTGTGGAGAACTGGAGGCGCCCATAAATTCCTGAATTTTACATAGATAAGAAAGTTACTAACTGAATATGGGCCCTAAGAAGTTGGTCTTTGAAAACAAGGTGGTTAAAAAACAATTCGAGTTGAACAAGGTTTGCGTCCCCATTGTGGAACTTGAAGTCTTCAAGTTGAAGATGGAACTTGAAGATGAATGAGTTGATTGATTGACAAGTGAATTGAACGCGTTTGCATTATGCTTGGGAAATGTACTAGAGACTGGTGAACATTTTTATTTTTGTGCTCATTAAAACGAATGTAAACTCTCAATGTGTATACACATTTATTTAACACGAAATTATTGTACGCACATGTGTATTTATCGGTTCATCCACACTTGAGTACTTCATAATTCAGAAAAATAATTCCGAAAAGTACTAACGAAACTAACCTTACATAATTTCATTTACAAGTTTAGTGGAACGAACGTGCCCTTTTTAAGTCGATAGGATGCAAAACAGTTGATTCGAACGGGACCTGAAATATTAGTAAATTGAGGAATCTGAGTGCTATGAATTTAATCTGCTTGGACGTCTAAATACATAAGTATATACTTGATCGAACGTATCCGAGGAGACATGCAGACCTCCACTTATAAGTATGTATGTACATCCAAGCTTTATTTGCTTTTTGTCAGTATGTAAATAGAATACGTAAGCATTATGTTGTACAACATTTGCATACCATTTCGTTCACATAAACCGAAATAACTACTTGTGTATTTAAAGGTCCTTTGTTGCACGGAATTTGATAATATGCATACATTACGTTGTATATGAACTATGTGGAACGCAGGTATGTATGCAAATAGCATCATGAATATGTAGCTGGCAGTCTGATGTTGTGGGCAGAATATGATGATGCAAGTGATGAATGGATAAATCTACTTTTTTCGCCTTTGGGTAACCTTGATTTTGACCTTTCTGAGTGAACCAGAGTCAGACGAGTGACAAATTTACTACAAATTGTGTACCCAATGGAATATGAATTATGCGTAAAACTTAATTTGAGTTAACTTCACGACCTTCTTCCATTCAAAGTCTGTCCTCGAACTTGGCATTGCCAAATGTTTGGGTAATGATTAAGGAGACGTTTTTGTCCCTGAGAAAATTAAATCATACAGACGTTAACACTTTAATTCGTAACGAAGACAATTGTCGTTTTCTTGTAAATGCTTTAATTCGGTAGGAAGACAAAAGTCGTCCTGAGAAACCTTGGTCATGGTGCGGGAGGAGGACAAGTGTCGTTTCCCGAGGGTCATCGATTTTCACCATTTTCTCATCAAAATATAAAATTTCCTGCAATTTTGAGGGATTTCTCCTATGCCAACCAAACGTTAAATTTGAACATGTTCTTGCCGAAAAATTGGATATTTCCCAATATAATGCAATGTTAAATTTTGAATTTTTCAGTTTTCTCGAGTTTTACTAAAACTGCTAAATTCCTCCCACACCATAATCACAACATACTTATAATGTGCCCAAACTAATGCAATTTCTTCAAGTGAATCACACATCTTAAAGGGTTAAGTCGATATTAACAAATTCAATACTTTCATATACAAAATTTTTTAATCAGATACAAAATGTTAACTTTTTTAAATAACGGTGTCACGTCTATTTGGTATATGACGGTTTGACGCATTTCCCTTATTTAGTGACAACACGTGTCCTTAATCATTATCCAAAAATTGAGAACTACTTAGAGTATCACCCTGGATGACGATTTGTGCTAAAATTATTTAGAGTGTAGCTGATCCTAAGTTTCTCTTAAGTTTTTTATTTATTTACCAGGTGCTGAACATTGTTATTAAATACAGAAGTGCAAGGTGGTTATCCTTGGATTAAAACCACCAGTCAAATTTTAAATTGTTCATGCTTAGAAATAATCACAGCCATTCTTTTGCACTTTTCGTATTTTCGCCTATGGAGAAATTGTAAAATAAATATCCAACCTAAATTTTAATCTTTCAAGCTGCTTTTACTCCCAAATGGTTAATACAATGGTGAAATTCAGAAATTTTTCCAGTTTCGAAATGGGGCTAAAATCCAAAAAGTAAAATAGTAGAAAAATACTAATTTGAGCCGGAAGGGTATTTAAAAATTCTACTCAGGGCGAACATACACGGACTCCGGAAAATATAAAAATATTGACTAATTACTTCTGTAAATACATTTTAAAATTTAGCCCAGTTAAAATCTGAGACATATCCTTCTCATACCTCTTCATTGTACCCATAAGTGAGTATTAATGCTTAGCTATTTGATTGACAATGGATTAATAATTTAATCACAGAATATACATATCAGGACATCCGCAACAATGAAATTAATACGATGAGCGTTTCCGCTATCCGACAAATCGATGAGGATGTCGAGCAAACTTTGAAAAATTACGACTGGACACTCCCCCATTCGAGGGGCCATTTATCCGCAACAATTCGCAACCTGGAATCCACTGGGGTCACTCCAGATGGCGAGTCTGCCCTTGTCCACTCGCCGGTCGGACTGCTGCAGATTCTGCACACGGAGGACGCCTTTCGTCGTCGTGGGCTGGGGATCATCGTCATGAAGGCGTTATCGAGAAAATCGAGAAAGGTGGCGGAACTCGGGCTAGTCCCGAGGGCAGAGTGTACAACGACGCCTCAGGACAAGTCCAGCTCAAGACTTGATTATTATGATCAGTATTAACATACAGACAAATTGGAAATTTTGTGTCATTCATTTTACTTCATCATATTTGCGGATACAGGTGGGCTAAATTCTACCAACGTTCCGTGCTTATCTCATTCGTACCTTATCAGACGGACTCAAGAAGGGTATGAAATATATACGGATAAGCCACCCTCGTCGTGCTCATCTTCGCTGGGTAATTTCACATAACTCGGCAATACCTAATCCATAATCAGCACAAAACTTCCCAAGGTTTTCAATTCCTTAACTTTGGAGCTCCACTATTCTGAACCTCTCCAGACGATAATACCCAATCCACTTATCCACAATCAGCATAAAGTTTCCAAGCGTAACGTACGTTGACCGTTCAGTTTGGGGCCTGCATTATCCTGACCTTGTTCAGATGATGAATTGCTAATTAGAGTACGCATGCGTATCCACCTTTATTTCCTCACCTCATATTTTGGGAATTTTATTTTGTATGGGATTTCTCCTTCGGGAAGGATTTACTTATTCGTCACCGTAGGAAAGACCGTTGCTCAATTTATCAGTAACAATTTATGATCCGTGTGTTAAATATGTATCGGTGACTAGATACGTATGAGGGAGATAAGGTATAAAAGCGGACTGATTTCTCTCAGAAAATATCACTCTTCACCCATATCTGTCCCTCGTCCGGTCTAAGTAGTGGAAGCGGTGAAAAAAACATCGAACATTAAAAATGAAGGTTTTGATCGTCATGATGGTTGGGTGTATAGCGGTGGCCTCGGGTAAGGATTATTTTTTAATTATCCTAGGAAACATTGCAAAATTCGTAAACTTTATTAAAATTTCGCGTTTCTTTATTTTGTAAACGTTTGTAAAATTATTTAAAAAGGCTTACCGATTTTATGAGTTACAAGTAACTCATTGGTTACTTTTTAGGGATGCCTAAGCCATCCGACCTCGATATCCCTGGCCCTCGCTTGATCGTTGGAGGTGTGGAGGCGGACCGCAACGAATTTCCCTTCATCGTAGACATACGACTCTACCGGACGGAGAGCATCCACTATTGTGGCGGATCCATCGTTTCGCCTAACTGGGTCGTGACGGCGGCTCATTGCATGCAAAATCCTGGGGGTGCGTCCATGTACTCGTTAGTTGCGGGGGAACACAACCTAACTTTTGGAGAAGGTAGCGAACAACTGAGACAAGTTGCGACGATCGTAAACCATCCAGGCTATGGGAGGTTCGTTGAAGAAGGGACGTCTCTTAGCGTATGCTCTCAGATTTTCAGAAAATTAGTTTCAAACGAAAATAAGTTTAATTATGCTTAACACTAATTTGGTCAACATCTGAGAACATGGTTTGGAAGACATCCATTAACTACATCCATTACAAGATTAAAATATCCTGCGTAAATATGAAGTCCCACTTAAGGGAGATTTTTAAAAAGTTACTGGAAATTTCTTTACTTTCAGACCCCTCCGATTTTCCAATGACATTTCCCTACTCAAGGTGGACCCCCCATTCGTATTCAATGAGTTTGTCCAACCCGTGGTGATCCCGCAGCTTAACTTTGTCCCAACCGGTACGGTTTGAATAATCTCAGATGGTCGTCCTTACAAATAAGTGAATCTATATAATTTTTCTAGCCGTTGCTACCGTGGCTGGCTGGGGGGATTTGTCCAGCGGGGGTAGCGCTCCAGACGTCCTGATGAAAGTGGATGTTCCCTTAGTTTCGGAAGCGTCGTGTCTAGCCTCTTATCCTGGGCAAATTTCGGAAAGTATGGTTTGTTACGGTAATGGTGAAATACATAGTTGTGTTTTGAGTTAAGATTAGAGGGCGACGTCGAAAAATTTTCGACGTCGATCTCTGTTTAAGATCTTGTGATGTGTCAGTGACAATTTATTATATTTAGGTGAGGAGGGAAAGGACTCTTGTCAGGCTGGTAAGTACAAATTCAAATAATTTTGAGCGCAGCAGTTCATTTGTTAATTAGACTTAGGTTGGTTATCAAAACCTTCATTTCTTCATCCTTAGCGATACTTTCGAAAAATATTATTTTGTTCGATGATTTCTGGGTGTGAGATTTGAATTTTCGTATTTCAGATTCTGGCGGCCCCCTTATGTGCGGCGCGGACAAGGCCCTTTGTGGAATTGTTTCGTGGGGGCGCGGTTGTGCCTGGGCAGGATATCCCGGAGTTTACACTGAAACCAGTTTCTTCGCTGAGTGGGTCCGATCAACAATTGCGCAACCCTTGCTTCTGCCAACGGTGTAACGGACAATTGGTGAAGGTTCATTTGAATGACGACTATCAAGATATAGCCATGACAGTCTAAATGTCTCGTAAATCTTATTTTGGCACTTTGTCAAACGTTCACTATTTAAAATACAAAAATGTAGTAAACTCCGATATAAAAGATCAAAGACTCAATTATGCTTCGTCCAATCATTAGTCATCATTGACACAATGAATGTGGTAACCAGGTGTCATATTTCTAAATTTTTGAATCAACCTAAGAAAAAACCTAGGAATATAATTGAACTTGGATTTCTTCTTTAGCTATATATTTCATATGCATTTTCTATTGTGTTTATTTTGCTTGATCACAAAAAACTGATCCAATTCTAGGTTCGTCTTGAACATAAAATTAGCTATGAACAATTCCAAAAAATTACACGACTATTAAAAATTACACGCAATTGCGTGTAGCCATTGTATGTAGTTTTTAGCAAATTTGTTATGTTTGTACATTGCGCGCAATGTACAAACATAATAATTTGTATTCTCATTTTTACTAAAAGTTGGTTAATTAAGTACAATTAGTTTTGTTAGTACATCAACACCCCCTGAAGGTGTGGTTTTTAAACTTAGAATATTCTGTAAGGTTCGCCTAATCAGGCTTATAAAAATGATATGCTGCACGTTAGGGTTTAATTTAGCTTAATTTGTGAGTTTAGAACCACGTCCACTGAGGATGTGGTTTTTAAATTTGGAATATTTTGATAGCACTAGCCTTGTAGGGCTAAAATATTCATATTTCCTACTGCAGTACGATTTTTTATAAATAAATAATTTTGGAATTGCAATTATCTCTTTTTAGAATTTTTGTTGTGCACCTACCTCTTTTTAAAATTAGACATCGACTGCACTTACCTCTTTTTAAAATTAAAGACTGAGGCACTTACCTCTTTTTAAAATTAAGCATTGAGTGCACTTATCTCTTTTTAGAATTAGTGCGACGATATGTAAGTTTTGTCAATTTATGTTTTATGGAACGATGGCGGTCGCATTCAAATCCGAGTATTATCCTTACAATGGAAGACTTCCGTATACCGGCAAAATGATTACGTACCATTATGTACGCATATCCCCTGCTGAAACAAGGGGAACAGGTTATTTAAAATTTAATTTTAATGTCAAGCATTATCCTAATTAATTGTTAAGAACCGTCTTTAAATTATGACAGTCATGAACAAGAAGGAAAATTTCGAATATGCGTCATATAATTTGTGATGGTTTCATCACGAATTTCTTTTTTACCATGAATAAGACCTTGTACCTTAGGAGACGAATCGTGTCGACTGGATTTAAATCATTATGATGCTTTCTTTTCGAAAGTAATTGTAACAATTAAATAGAAGGGTTTGGAGTGGTTAACTCTATCTCGAGTAATAATACTGTCGCGTCGTTGAGTTCGTTGGAAAGGAAATGCTTAGTTTTGGATTTAACAGTGAAAATGGATGCATGGAAACATTTGTTTTCCACGAGGAATATCTAATCGTTTACACACGTCGGCCAGCCCATGACACAAATTATGTTTGTGATATATGGCACTATTTTAATAAAGTTTTAGTAGAAATAGTAATTATTCACAAGAATAGGTTAATTTATTCAATAACACCTGTCGCAAAGGCAGTTTGAACAGTTCCATGTCCTCTAAATTACTCTTGTGGAAATTATTTGAGTCATGAGTAATGACTCATTACTTTGGGATGACGACAGTTTACAAAAACCGCAAGTTAACTATGTAAATACGTTGTTACTGCAAAAACGTACATATAGGAATAAGTAAATGTGAAGTGAACCGAGCAAAAAAAAACTTCTGCACAAATGTGTGTCACAATATACTTGGAAATGTGCAATTAACAGAAAAAAAACATTTCGCACCTGTTCAAACATAATTACTGGGCCGGGAATCTCCCTTATAAACCCGTTACATCGTTCATTAACCCAAATTCATCCACTCTGCCAGAATTCAAGAAATATTTATTAGACATGTGGAAACTAAACTTTCTACTTTTATCCCAACTTTTAACCGCCCACGGTGGGACAATTTCACCCAGCCTGCTCTCCAAGGTGCAAAATGGGAACAAATCCGACGCCATTCTGGAGCTTCCATCCATCTTTGAAAACGTGATGAGCAATCCGGCCCTCTCGTTGTTATCCGGGATGGCGAAAGTGAACATGATGACGACCCTCTTTAAAGAAGCCACATCCGTCTCGCAAGCTCCCTTCCTCTCGGCCATATCCGGTTTGGGGATATCGTCCACCCCCTTCTGGATTTCTAACGATATCGCCATGAAGGACGTGGACTTGAACGCGGTACAATCCCTAGCCGCACTTCCGGGAGTTTTCACCCTTCGAGAGCCCGTCAAGGTCAGGATGAGTAAGATTAACGATGTGAACCGTTTTGCCCGACAATCCGGGACACAATGGGGTGTAACAAAAATTCAGGCGCCATCCGTCTGGTCGAGGAGTAAAGGGGCGGGATCCGTTGTGGCGAGCATAGACACGGGAGCGTACAAGGAACATGAATCTATTCGGGACAATTATGGGGGAAAATGGTACGATCCAATTTACGGGAAAACTGCGCCGGACGATAGACAGGGTCATGGGACTCATACGATTGGTAGATTATAGATAGCGGGGATTATGGCGGGCATAAATAAATATTTTCCACTTTAGGAACCATGGTCGGACGCAGTAACGGGATAGGCGTGGCCCCCGACGCGAAATGGATAGCATGCCGTGGCCTGGATAATAGCGGGTCGGGGAGTGAGTCCTGGCTGAAATCGTGTGGGCAATGGGTCCTCCAACAGAGGCCGACGGTCTGCTGTAATAGTTGGGGGGGCGGAGGGGGTCAGACATTTTATAATGATGTCGTCAAGAGTTGGCGAGCCGCTGGTATAATTCCCGTATTTGCGAATGGTAATGCTGGGTCGGATTGTCGAACGGCGGGATCGCCGGGAGACCAGCCAAACTTGATCTCGGTCGGATCCACGGACTCGGACGATCAGATGTCCTACTTCAGCAGCAGGGGTCCTTCTCCGACGGGTGCGATTAAACCGGAAATATCCGCGCCTGGAGGGAACATCGTGTCGGCGGGAATTTCAAGCCCGACAAGCTACACGTCCAAGTCAGGGACGAGTATGGCCACGCCCCATGTGGTGGGAGCGATTGCCTTGATGAAGGCGGTTAACCCGGGCTGGACGTATGACAATGTTTTGTCCGCCCTTAGTAAGACGGCGGATCGTCCAAACGTCTCGTCAAACGATTTAGGCTGTGGGAGAAATACGTCGTCAAACTATCCCAATAATGCGTATGGGTTTGGGAGAATTAATGTGAAGAAGGCGTTGGGCATGTGAAGGTGGGAAATTGATGGGTGAGGAATAAATTTACCCTGGTTGAGATTTATGTGTTAATAAAATTGCATTTTAAAAAGCCGCGGGATAAAGACGACCTGTAATAATTGTTTGAATATGCACCTCATGACACATACATATTTATGATAAAATTCTATGAATGGGTAATAGTGTTGGGAATGGGAATGGTTTCCAAGATGAAGGTCCGTTAGAGGTTGGAGCATATTTATTTTAAGTTATTAAGTTGTGGTGAGGCTGGTGTGAATAATATTTTTTGGTTTTGGTTTGTGTGTGGATGATACATAAACGATTTTTATTGTTTTCTTGATTTGGTCAATGGATCAGAAAATTGTTGAATTGGTTAATATTTTTATTACGGGAAATAGGGAATTATTTCCTTGCAGTCGTTCCAATTACCTCATCAATTATTTCGGCACATTATTAGTTATAGCTATATGGCCTGGGATATACTATATCCAGGCGAGTATAGCCGTAACATCGTATATGCACGACTCTCTCAATTTCCCAGTCTAACGTCTCGTCATGCTCTTCTACGACGTGGTCCGTGCACTACCCCCAAAATGGGGGAGGAATTACCCCCCACCTCTACTACTGTAGATAAATAAATTTGTTTGTTGGGTCATATTGATAGCTATTTTGCATTATGTTTATTATATTGACACTACCTAAGTAAGATCTCTTTGTTAAAATTAGCCGATCTAATTTATTTACTTTCTGCCAACTGGACCTCCTCCCGTGCATTCTTGAACATCGCTGAGATAATTGGCATCACAACATCCCTTCTTTCTCCAAAAATCACTACTTGTCCAGGCAGTTTGATACGCCGTGTCGTAAATGGTCAACTTTCCTTGAGAGAATGTCATCCGGTTCCCCAATCCTGTAGTTGCGGTGGAGTAGACGATTTTTCCACCTCTATTGAAGACAACGAGATTTCCATCCTTTTGAAAAATTGCACGCCGGCCGCAGGGTCTAGTGTCTGAGGCCCAAATGGATGTTCCCTTACCGTCATAAATGACGAGGTTTCCATCACTTTGGAAAGCAAGCCGTCCATCCCCTCCTTCCTCGCAATTCACAACTTCTTCTCCCGGAAACCATTCGCACGCCCCGGAAGCCTTCCCGATAAAAAAGTAGACGAAGAAAAGACCAATGACTGATATGCGGACCATTGTGGTGAATATTAAACTCTCTGTAATATTGTGGAAGGTGTTAAAAATTAAAATATAAAATTTTTAGATAATTTCCAAACCTGAGGTGTGACTGGATGGTGATGGTGGCAGTTTTAGTTTATTTACCCGAGAAGGCTGCAGACAAACAAGTGAAGATTGAATTTAGAAGGAACTTCTTAATATAGTAAATTTTTTTTGTTGGAAAAGGCATTTAATGGTTTACTTGGAAAGGCAAACGTGTTGCATTTCTTGGAAAAGTGAATATGTAGGTTTGTGCTTACACATGTATTCGACTTGAAAGTGTGTCTGAAGAAGGTGTATTTTCTGAGAAACTTGTTTTCTTTAATTTTGTCAACATGACAACTAAAACGTGCATGAGTTTAAATAAGGCAATTAGTGGGCAAGATTCCTACGTCATACGACTATGGGTTGAATCACTTCATTTTATGTTCATTACCCAGTAAACCTATGTACATAAATTGCATTGGTAAAATTGCAGAATAATATCTGACAAAAGTGAGATTATTTATAAAACAGGATTATTTATCAATAAATTAATAGATAGTTAGAGTTTGTGACATCCAAGCACAAAATTCAGTTTGTTGTCAAACCACCAAATTCTATGGAAGCGGAGGTATCCAGTGTATAAATGATTTAAAAATTCAAATATAGAAATCAAGAGAGCCAAGTCAGTTGAGAAAAAGACCTGTATATACGTTCTTCAAACTTTTTCTTTCTTTAATGTCTGGCACTAAACAGAACTATTAGTTTGGTGGGACTTAATTGATCTTTTTGTTGAAGGGGACAAACTTTATGATTTTCTGGGATTCATTTTGCTATGCATTAAAGGCCTGGTGAAGTCAATTATCAAAATAATTCAAGCCCTTATTGCAGTTAAAGGAGGCCACAAAAATATTAAGTACCGTATCATCTATATTATAATTTCGAAAGTCCGTCCCGTGAAATTTTCCGTGACATTCCTGCGTTCTGATTGGCTGCTGGGTTTCTGTATCCGCCAATCAGAACACGAGTCGATTTTCGATTATGATTATGATTATGATTATGGTTATGGTTATGATTATGGTTATGGTTATGGTTATGGTTATGATTATGATTATGATTATGGTTATGATTATGGTTATGGTTATGGTTATGATTATGGTTATGATTATGATTATGATTATGACTATGATTATGGTTATGGTTATGATTATGGTTATGGTTATGGTTATGGTTATGATTATGATTATGATTATGGTTATGATTATGGTTATGGTTATGATTATGGTTATGATTATGATTATGATTATGGTTATGATTATGATTATGAATATCGTTATGATTATGATTATGATTATGGTTATGATTATGGTTATGATTATGATTATGATTATGATTATGGTTATGATTATGGTGGTAGTTATGGTTATGGTTATGATTATGGTTATGATTATGATTATGATTATGGTTATGGTTATGATTATGATTATGGTTATGATTATGATTATGATTATGATTATGATTATGGTTATGGTTATGATTATGATTATGATTATGATTATGGTTATGATTATGATTATGGTTATGGTTATGATTATGATTATGATTATGGTTATGATTATGGTTATGATTATGATTATGATTATGTTATGGTTATGGTTATGGTTATGATTATGATTATGATTATGGTTATGATTATGGTTATGGTTATGATTATGGTTATGATTATGATTATGATTATGGTTATGATTATGAATATCGTTATGATTATGATTATGATTATGGTTATGATTATGGTTATGATTATGATTATGATTATGATTATGGTTATGATTATGGTGGTAGTTATGGTTATGGTTATGATTATGGTTATGATTATGGTTAGCAACGTTAAAGAAATTCGTTAGAAACGTTAAAAAAATTCCTTAGCAACGTTAAAAAAATTCGTTAGAAACGTTAAAAAAATTCCTTAGCAACGTTAAAAAAATTCGTTGGCAATATATGATTATAGAGCAAAGTTAGGAAAGATATACTGAGCTATTATATACTGCAATAATTTCATAATTTTCAGATGGTGGTTGTCAATTTTAAAATCGGCCCGTCTTTAAGACGGGCTTCTGGGCTAGTTACATTGTAATTCTCATTCTTCGGCATACAATTATTTATAGAATTAGCAATATTTATCCAATTCGTTCCAAAACTGGCGAATATGTAGTAGGATTGATGATGAAGTTGTTTACAAAGAACTCGAAAATGTTTTGCCGTTCTTAAGATAATGCAAAATGTACCAGGGTATTCCGACCCTGGTTTATTGGGTTTAGGTTTTTGAGATTTAATGGGTTACAAATTAATAAAACCCATTTTGGGTATAACCATGGGTTTAGGTTCTGATAAGATCTTGATGGGTTTTATTCCAATTTTGTATAGTTTTACCAGAAAAATGCATTTAAAAAGTGAAAAAGATTTCAGCTACTTAAAAAAAGTGATTACAAAACGATTGAGCAACTTATTTCACTTTTATTACTCGCATTTACATAATTATGATGAAAATAAATCATGGACGCTAACCCTAACAAAGTTGATATTTATAAATTTAAATTTTTAGATTAAAAAATCTTTGTTTATGTTGAATACGGAATTGGATATGCTTGAATTTAAAATTGCAATTGATACAAAATATTTCTTGTTGAAATTGTCGATAAAACACATTAAAACCAATTAAAACCCAAAAACCCCTGGGTCGTAGTTTTTTTTATAAAACCCTGGTATTTTGGAAACCTTATATATATATACAAAACGTTCATATGTGTATACACATTCTTATATGTGCATATTGAACATATGGGGAAGTTCCTAAACTTCATGACGCAAAGGGGAGTCGGTGGGTGGTTATTTCCCAGTGAGATTATGCATACATATGTCACAAATGTTTAAGGGGGTTGGATGACTGTCCAAGAAAATTTGCGTTATGAAGTTTTTGAGCGTCCCCTATGCACGTTATGCATGATGCAAAATTAAATTACATATTTTAATAAATTGATAACATTGCAGTATGGAAAATTGACCACAGCCTTGTTGTCTTCAAGTGGTAGTTAAACTACTTTGATATAAAAACTACTTCGTTAACTTGAACTAGGTTGCACTTCTTGACATCTTCAAATAAGATAATTCCAATATATGCCTTTTATTACTTTGATATTGATTGGTGGAAGATGACACCCGTCGAAAATAGAATAAGTTGACAAAATTTATATTGTAAAATATGAATACAGGAAGAAACAATAAATATTTATTTTTTTTGTTTGATGCGATTTAGTTCAAAAAGTCCGTTAAGTTATGGAATCTGGTTGCAGTCAATATTTTTTTTATCCTCATAACTGCTACATATTAGACAATGGCTACATCAGCACAGTTCCTGAATGTCTGAGCAGGTTCTGGATTGTGGCACTCGGGGTCTAATTAGTATATTTAGTAGAAAATTGCTCATCTTATGGAATGGGACAATACAATTTAGGATAACTTACTTGGTGGGTATGAAGTCCTGAAAGTTTTATATTTGTGTGTATAGTACGGTTCAAAGATCGATAAAATTATATACCTATTGTTTTTACCTGTAGGTCCATCTAAGAGTACAGCGAGAGCATCTCACTCCAGACGGGAGTTGAACTCTGGCAGTGGCAACCGCAGACCCGTTGGGAACGCAGACACGATTATCCCTCATTGGGAGGTTGGAGCTAACAATGGTGAGCGTTTGGAAACAGCTGTCAGTTTCCGTGACCTGTGGGCAGAGTTCAACTTGGAATCCACCTCCATGCGCCGCACTAATGTCAGCCTTTATCTCGATAATCTAGTGCAAAGTGTTAGATTGTTAGTTCAACGTTGGTAGTCTAATTATAGTTTATATTACCGATCCAGACGTGTAAGTCTTTTCGATAACTCCTTTATCGTAAATTCCTCCTTGAGAGGCATCCCTGTTGCCAGCTGCTTCTCCACATCGTCCACAACTCGAGAAGGACTGATCTTGTTGAACTGGTTAAATAAAATGTTCTATGTAGAGAATTGTGATGGCTAAATTATAAATGATAAAGTACCGTTGTCGCACCACACCCCAGAGTTGTCATACCAGTATGGTGGCCTGAATGGCTCATCGGGTGCCAAATGTCGTGATGTTCGGGCAAGCGGGTCCTGCAAGTAACCATGGGAATCTGCCAAGGCCACCATTCCCAGACAAACGGCGAAGTAAAGAAGATTCATTTTCTAAACTTTGTTTCTGCAGAGTTATAAATAACAGTAATGCAACAACTTCATTATATGTAGCCTTTTTATATGTAGCTTGTGTAGAGATTCTACTCTCGAAAGTAATCTTAAGTGGCAATTTGTTGAGGAATTTAATTTGAATGACAGTGATTGAAATTTGATAAAAGTTGTTTTTGTTATTAACTGGAACCAGTGTTGCATATTTCCCGTCCAAAACATTTTTTTCATAGAAGAGTGGGGAAAAGTGATTTTAACCACAACTTTTCCCCACTTGGCAATAGGGAAAACTGAGCGCCACCTAGCGGCATCTTTTCTCCATTTCCCACTTATTTTAGTAGGTGGGAAAAGTGTATTTTCCCACCTACTAAAATTATCCCACTGTGTGGCAAAAAGTGGTTTAAACCACTTGCAACATTGCCTGGAATTAGTGGAACATATCCAACCCTTACAAATTGATTTTATGTAGAATGGAACTGTCAACGTGATAAACACATGATGCATGAAGCAATTGCTGATTTAATTGGTATGATAAATCGACCACTGATAAATTCCATTGTGATGCTGCAATTAAATCAACAAATATGTTTTGCAGATGTGAGCACGACCTTGTTGCAATTTAATAAAAACAATTGTTTTGCAGTGTGCAAAATTGATCACGCATTGGTGTCATTTGCATGCTATACTCAAACTACGTATTAACTTGAACTGGGTAGCACTACTCATTCACGTGTTGAAGAGTGCTAACCAGGGGTTGGCAAAATACTTTGTCAAGATAAAAGATACAAGATACAAGATAGTATCTTTATCTTGTATCTTCGTGGACTGATCAGAGAAGTATTTTGCATCTTATATCATTTAGACAATCGAATAGTATCTTGTGTAAGTATCTTGTCTAGATATGTCTGGCAGAAAAGTATCTTAAGATAGTTGTTAAGATACGGGATACTTTTTTCAAGATTCGGACAAATTATGTTAATTTCTTACTACAATCAGTCGGTTTGATTATCAATTTGTAAGCAGCGTTGGTGAATTTTTACTTTGTGTTTTTCCAAACTAACCTGGTACATACATAAATACATATCGTTGGCTTAGTGAGTAATCCAACTATGCATTTTGGACTAAGCTGGATTACTAACTAAGCCGACGATATGTATGTCTATTCGTGTGTACTTGTACATACAGATGCATAATACGTAACGTATTGCATGATATGTACTTACGATTAATTAGTGTATAGGTATTATAAGTTTTAGTTTGAATAATCAGGGAATGAAAACATATTAAGAACTTCTCATGAGGTATGTTAGATATACATGGGAATAGTTTTTCGAAATTTCGAAGTTTTTCGAAATATGGACACTTGTAACAAAATTTGTGAGGTGATTAGAAATTTTGTATTAACAAAGTTTAAAGTTCATTCAGTAAAGCTTCTATATATACACAAGTTTAATAGATGATCTTCCTTTAAATTATTAAATATTAATAATTGGGCATGAATACCAGACTAGAAGAAGAAAGTATATTATCTAATATAAAAGTATCTTCAGATACATATCTTGTATCTTGACTACTTAATTTTTTGGAAAGTATCTTGTATCTTGTGTACTTGAACAAGAAGTATTTTGTATCGTGTATCTTATATCTTATCAGAGGAAGTATCTTCATCTTGTATCTTGTATCTTACGACCAAAGTATCTTGCCCACCCCTGGTGCTAACAATATATTTAGTAATGGCGTTTATTATCTTGATGTTGACTGATGATGATGACACGCTTTTTTAATTCGTTTACAGCATGGTTGCTTCAAACTTGCCAATGCATACACTCCAGCTTCAGAACCTAATTTAAGTGGTTGCTGTCTACGATTTCCATCGATTACCAGGATTTCCCTTTTTCTTAGGTGAGGTAGTAATCTCCATCTTGCTACAGTGGTTGGTTCAACTTAACCCATGTGTACGAATAAAATAAGATTCATATGACTTTAAAAGAATTTAAGGCAGAATAACAACGCTGTAACTCCATAAATCACAATGCCCCCCTACCCCTAGCCAACTTTCACTCTCCCCACCCAAATTCCGCGAAAATCATCATCACCGCCAATCAACCACTATGGTGGTGGTGGTATTGAACTTGATTGCATATTATATTTTAAAAACGTGAGATTGCCACACATTTTGTGTAGCATCTCACCCCATTTCGACAAAATTTTGAAAAAAAAATTCATTTTGAAACCCAATGATGTTTTTTAATATTGCACGAAATTGAGCATTCTTTGTTTTTTTTAATCCAAATTTATCCCTTTACAAAGTTAGGAGACTCAAAATTCATTTATCTACTTCCTTATTCATACCAAAAGTCCCGTCTCCAGGGAAAATCTTAAGGTCAAAGGTAAAAGCTTTACCCTTTTCCCTTTCCCTCGGGGAACGGCAAATGCCGAAAATTTTATTCATATATTTTGGGGCATTTCCCCCAATTTTTGCGGAAAAAGGATTTCGCTGGTTTTATTCACACCAGTAATAATAAGTAACGGGAAAATGCATGAAGGTTCACCTGCATGAAAAGTGAAATGATGCATGTGTATGCAATGCCTAGCGGAGAACTGAGCAACCAACACAGTTCAGTCACTCGCTCTTGCTACCAGCTCACACTGAGGAGTAGGAAGTCAGAGGTTGTCAACACCAGATTTTGACGCCTTTTGGATATGTTGTAGTACTATATGAGTGTACGAAAAGTGAAGAAGGGTTTTACTCCATGGCCCCATTTGCGCCCGCCACACCCCCTCAATGGTGGGCCAAATGCTTAACTAGCTGGACTCAAAGCTTCGCCAAAAATCCAATTTTGCTCGGATTTTCAAAAAAATTACATATTCTTGATCCCAGATAGTTGCTGTATCATGTTCAATAGCAATCTCTACTTTTTTAAAATTTTCACTATTTTCGAAAATTTCCTGAGCAAGGGTTTGACTTGAAAAAATGTGAAATTTCAAAAAAGTTGAGCTTGCTATTGGATATGATTAAGCAACTATCTGGGACCACAAAAATGTAAATTTTTCCAAAATCTGAACAAAACTCGATTTTTGGCGATTTTTTATGTGCGGAAATTCTCGCTGTTTTTGCACCTTTGAGGGGGTGTGGCGGGCGCAAATGGGGCCATGGAGTAAAACCCTTCTTCACTTTTCGCACACTCATATAGTACTACAAGATATCCAAAAGGCATCAAAATCTGGCGTTGACAACCTGCGACCTTCTACTCCTGAGCTATGCACACAAAGCGTATGCAAACTATGTACATGAAGCAGCACTCTTTTCCATTCACAGAGACTCCAGTCCGTATGCAGGAGTGTGCATTTACTTGCATGAGATGCATGCTAAACTGATAGTTTTAGTTCATAGTTTTATTTGTATGTTAGTTGTAACTAAGTATGAATGTTGATGTGTATGTAAGTTGAATGTAACTGTGTGTAAATGTTTGTATGCTTACTTATGAATGGTAAATATGAATGCATGATTTATATATGTAATTCAGAGAGCAAAGTTGTATTTATGAATACAACACGGCCATAATGTGACCATGCAGATCGTGACCGCTTCCATGAGTCCGACCCGCAAAATAAAAGCGTCCACGGTCCACCATCACGTACACAGGTCAATACTTGCACAATATTACACACACACATATGTTGCATATCTCACTCTACCTCACGAGGAGAATAATGAGCCCACAAAGAAACAAAATGTTGGACGATTTGTTTGAGTCACTTGCCGTTTTGAAATGTAATTCGGTAAAAAAATTTGTCCAATTGTTGTGTCATCTTCTTTTTTTTCACTCAACCTTAGGGAAATTTTAGTTATTTTTATTTAGATTGCATCTCTCAAGGCCAATTACGTACACCCAAATAAGAGTTGTACTAAATTTCCACAAGGTTGAGTAAAAAAGAGGATGACACAACAATTGGGCAAAATTTACACAAGGGTTGGGTAAATTTTACTCTACCGTTGGATAAATTTTGCACAAGTTGAACAAAATTTACCCATCGGTTGAGTAAAATTTCTACAACTGTTGTGTCATCCTCTTTTTTACTCAACCTTGGGTAAATTTTCCACAACTTTTATTTAGAGTGTACATATTGTTAAAATGAATTTTTGCATTCCCGGCTAAATATTGAGACACCTTATCAAGCCGGAAATAGGTTACGCAATAACCAACAATAATAAAAAAATGAGTCCCAAGTTACAAAATATTGTTGTCTTTTCTTGTCCCAGCAACGTGTCTCACTCTACCCCTTTGCGGCGGGTTGTCCTCGCCCTCATCACTGTCGAGATTACTATTTCTTAAAAGCGATGCCAGGATTGCCGTGTTATTACGTCTGCCGGGAAGTTCAGCCATTGGGTCTGACAGGAGGCCCGCCAGGAGGCTGTTGGAAGTCTGTGGCTTGGAGCTTGGCTCGTCATGACCGCCATGTCGTTGTAGCTGCTAAGTTAGTTCTTGGATCGTTCGTTTCTGCTGTTGCACAATTTGTTCCAAATTTAGGATCTTTTGCCCCTGTGTTTCCACAAATTTCATGTTCTGTCCAAGTTTGCGAAGGAGTTCTTCCTCTCTTAGGTGACAGTTCTGGTAAAAAATTGAATATTTACATATTTAATTAAATGATTTTATTTTATTAATAGTTTGTACGGCATGTGAGGGTTCGGAAGTGTGTCCCAGGGATCTTATCAAGTTTCCAGGAGACGTTGGGTTAGCCGACTTTTGTAAAACTTTGGCATCTTTCTTGCTAAGTTTTCGTCTGAGTGACAAAATGCGGTGTTGACACTCCTTGCATTTATAAAAGTTTGATGTAAAATTTAAATAATTGAATAAACTAACAATGCGAGAGTGTGAAGGGTAATGCCCCGATTTGGCTGAAAATTCAATATTATGTGGTCAAACTCAATATAACTAATGTTTCTTGAGGCAGTTTGTACGATGGTGGGATTTGGTCAAAATATTTGAGGTCAAAGTCAAATTTGCGATTTTTCCCTTTAAAAGGCATGGGCGTAGAGGTTAATTCCTCCGCTTGGCAAGAATCGCCCGTTTTTTGATCTTCGACCTCAAATATTTTAATCAATTCAAACCATCGCACCAATTGCCTCAAGAAACGGTACTTGTATTGAGTTGGACCACATAATTTTAAAATTTCAGCGAAATCGGAGCGTTACACTTCACACCATCGCATTGTAAGTTAGAAGATATTATATTTACCAAATCCACCCCTGGACCTAGGGCAAGTGTATTATTGTTAAACTGAGTTGTTTGGGAATCCATTTTTGCAAATGTTCGTGAGACACGTAGAAATTTAACTAGGAGCACTTTTGCAGTAAACTCTAATTGTAATCGTAATAAGTTGAAGATTGCAATACTACAATGTTAAATTTATTGGTGGATTTATGCCAATTTTTTTAGACACGTTTAACACAAAATGCAAAAATTTATAGTTCTAAATTCACCTTTCTATAAACTGAATTCACCAATTCGTTATTTCCAATGTGAGTCAGGAGTGCAATATTATTCTCCATGCGCCAGCAAACAGAGAATGGAAAGTGTGTAAAAAAAACAGGCATTAATTCTACGCAGTTGGGAGTTAGACCAACGTTGCTGGCTTGTGGAGAAGGTGGAAAAAACATCTCGAGGTCAGTCTCATGAATGAGAGTTCTTGGTAATGAGATATTAAGTAAATACGCTTCGGGGTAAAAAAGGGTTGTTTAATTTTGCGCTTAATATTTTAGCCTACCTTTGCACATACTTAATTCATGCTAGCTTAGGAACTGACAATGGAGGTCTCCCAACAGATTTGGACTAAACTAGTGTCAATTAATCACAAATTAAATTAGTATGAAATTTGAAAATGAAAATATCTGCCAATGCACAGGTATAGCGGTCCAAGGCGGGAAGAATGGGCAGCAAATTTCGAAAATTTTCCATCCTTCGGGGTGCATTTTCTCCTCTTTTTATGCAAATATCTCCGCTAAACTTGCGCATTAGCAGATAGTTACATTTGATAATTTCATACTAATTTTATTTGTGATTAACTGACACTTAGTTTAGTCTAAATCTGTGAGCATACGTTGGGAGACCTCCTTTATGAAATGTGAGTAATAGTGATGAACTGGAATATATGTAATTGAGAATTTAATTAGAAAAATTCTACATATATTCATGAAAATTTAGGTAGGATAATTTATTGGAAAGAACACTAACTACATGTAGCTTCATATTTTGATAATGACACAAATTACAATAACATCTCGTCCATGACGATACTGATTGTTAATTAGTCCGTAAAATCCCACGTGACTTTTAGCGAGGTTCCGCCGTCCTTGGAGAGTTTCTTGAATGCAGCGTCGGACAATGCAATATCCGGAATTTTGCAGCCATGTATACATTTCGTGTACACCTTGGCAATGACGCTTTTCTCCTTGGAACTTTCCAATTCTGTAATTTTAACGGATCTCGCACAATTTAGATCTTTCGTGGGATTTGGATGTTTCCAATGTTTTTGGTGAAGCGCTGCAACGAGATCGGAATTCTTTGCCTGGAATTCAGGACCACAAACGGATTTCCCCACGTCAAAAGTTATTGCTTGTCCGGTAACTAATTTTTGAAAAATTTTACATATATTTTATGGATACATACACTTTCATCCATGTAAGTATGTATGATAATTAGAAGACTAAATAGTCAATTTAGAAAAAGCATATTATATAATAATTAGTAGGTAACGTAATCGTAATTATAAACGTGTTAAATTATATAATCTTTATGACCCGTGTGTTCCAATGGAATGTGTTCCAATGCCAAATATCTGGGAGACGTGTGTCTAACTTTTTGATTGCATTGCTTTGCCCACGAAACAATTCGTGTGTTGGTTTCTTGCCAGAATGTCTGATAACAAAATTTAACCTCTTTTCACATAAATACCGTAAAAACTCAAACATGACCTTGCTCAAATAGTAGCCTTATTCTCAATCATGTTGTAGCTGTGTCGCAGCCACCAATTTTGTAAATAATAGCCCCCGGCTACCATTTGAGTATTTACGGTACGTCATATGACGTATTTAAAAAAATGTCCCTAAGAGACCAAATACGTCATATGACGTGTCAAAAGAATCCGTTGCATACCAAATTCGTGATATGACGTAGCATGACGACCCTTGTCTCTTGAGGAACAAAATACGTCATATCATGTATTTTTTCAAAAATGCAGATCTCACAAGATTTATAAAATAAATTATCAAAGAGTGTTTCTTTGCTATTTTGTGGAAAACTCGATGGTAAAAAGTTGTCTTTTTTGGATATTTTTCTACACAAATTTTGGATTTTTCCCTATACCGACCAATGTTAAAAAGCGGAGTTTTCGTGATTTTCGCCAAAAAACTCAGAACTTGGAAACTGGTTAAAATAAATATTGGGTTTTTACAGAAAATCATGGAAATTCAATTGGTTGCTAGCAGATGTAGTTATGAATTTAATATCGTACTCAACAGAAATTTTAATCTGCATAAATAAAGCTGAAAGAGGCTAATAATCTGTGGCAATGCACGATAGAAAAAATCTCAGAATCTGAAAATACATGAGAGCAAACAAAACCTCAAATTTAATATTTTTTTAGGTATTTCAGAAAATATCCTGACCAGGTGTGTATGCCTTTTTTACAAGTTGGAATTTTCAAGATTTTTGATATTGAATTTGATTCTACACTTATAAATCTGCGGTAACTTTTTTCAATCTGGAGACGTGCCAATCAAGGTCTCGTATTTTTAGCTGGCACACAACCGCTTTGCTGTTGTGAAAGAATAAGAAATAAAAAACCGTCCGGGTAAAATTACGATTCTCAATTTACTAGTTGGTTCGAGTTAATTATTCATTTAGTAAAATAATATTCACACAAATTTTCCAAGAATAAACATTCCTTGTAACATTTCCAGAAATATAAATATTTCGCATATGTTCTGCACTGTTTTAGTAAAAATGTAACCAAGATATTGCAGAATTTTAAATAAACACATACCCGGAATCGAATAATGACTCGTGTATTTAGTTAAACTTGCAAAAAGAAAAATAAAATTTCCCGAGGGCAGCTTTAACTAATTTAAATTGCGACAAGGTATGTGTAATCTTACGCTGAAGGTCATACATGGAACGCGAGGGGGTTCCGGCTCCGGATCCTTGAACGCCTTCAAGATGTGGGGGCCGAGAAGTAACAAGGAAATAATAAACAGTCCCCACGCGAACCTTTGCGTTCCTGGGGTGAACCCATCGCCCCCCATTTTCTCAGGATACCCGTCCACAACCATGGTGATGAATAATTTAAGGAACTTTGAAAATGAAAATGTGCCCAAGAAGGTGACTGCTATGGGATCTGGGAAACAATTGGCACGAGTTTGTCGAGTAGTTGGGACTCTAGTGGAAATAAACCGTTACAAACGACCGTAATCGAGGGGTGAAATCCAATTATGAATTTGTCATCAATCTTGATTATACAAAAAGTTGGACATTTTCGACCTTTGGCGTCGTCTGCACGGTCACCATGTCGACGCACGTCAAAATCTTGTCGATTTTTGAAATCCCCGCCCCAAAATATCTAAAACCGTCGAATCAAAAATTTAGACATGTTGCACCATTCACCTTATTTGTGTGACCTATTGACCGATGGCGCCCAAATTCTAATCAGTTCCTACCCTTAACATAATGAGTGAGTGTCCAAAATTTCAAGTCTCTGTGTCACTCCATTTGAGAGTTATAGAACCAACGGACGGACAGATAGACGGACGGACGGACATAACAAAATTATAAAGGGGCTTCACCCCTTAATAATGGAATCGTAGCCAATCCAATGTATTATTATCTTGTTAAAAGCTGGAGGAGAGATGTGATTCTATTCCTGTCAGTGTGGTACGAATCGGCTTTGAAAATAACAGGGGAAAGGGGAAGACTAGTCAGGAAATGGTGCAAGTAGTCCCGGTAGACGAGCCGTAATAAGATTTTATTTAGTTTGGGATTTAATTCTAGTTAGGATGAGGGAGAAGTTGATTAAATGTGAGTGTGGTGTGGTCTGGTCTGGTGTAATGTGTGGAGGAAAGAAATAGAGATTTGATCAAGGAATGGAATTATGTATAGATATGTATGTAGCATAGTTTAGAGAGTGGGTAGATATATAGGTGCACTCTAAACAAAATTTTAACGGATCATTACTGCGCCGAGTGCATATATGTATGTATGACTCTACCGCGATAGTAATGATTTGGTATTAAAACAATACTATATGGCAAAAAAGTAATACAAATTAGTGTTAAAATTATTACCAAAAAGTGTTATTTTATTACTAAATCTATACCAAAATGGTGGAAATTTTTAATTCCGTCACGGTAGAGTCATATATCACTCCGCTTGTTTTTTTATTACCAAGTTGCTAAGAGTGTGTACGTAGAAACTAGGATTGATCCACTTGATGGATGACGTTACTCACTTTGATCGGGTAGCGGGCTTCCCGTCCTGCAACACTTACCACCAGGGGGGTTGGGGGAGGGGGAGGACCGACAGGGGTGCGGCTGTACTTTTACCTTGTCTCTGAAATCTCGACAGCATTGAAATTTTTCATGGTTGCTACTGGTTACGCCGATGAGACAGACATTTTGTTAGAAAACAAAATGTTTATGAAAATGTTTACAAAGTCAAGTGACGTCAAAAGTGTGTCAACTTACAAACCTAACATAGCAGTTGCGTAGTTACAAACTTGACGTGATATCTTTCTTGTGAAGGAAACTTTATGAAATAAAATAATTAAAAATGATTTTTCAGCCATTTTCGGCCAAAACGTAGCCACAATTTAAGAAACTTCTATTTCCGATGGGAACGGAATATTTTGACTCCACGCTTTCTCGGGAGTTATCAATGTAGTTGAGATTTTAAGGACAAGGTGAAAATCGAATCGGTCGGCCCGGCAGGTGTGCAAAAAGTAAATTTGGGGTATTCACGTCAACTTCGTGAATAGCATAAATTTACGACATTTACAAAAATTCCACCGTGTAACGACGGTCTCAGTAGATACTTAAAAACATGACACGACCGGCACCTCAGAAGTATCCCTTGTTAGTTATCTAACTGTGGATTCACACAAAATAAGAGTTCCATACCTTGTTGTCACAGTCACCTTTCTGGTAAACGTCAAAGGCAGCGTAAATGTATTACATACAGAAAAATTCCATGGTTGCAAGGTGGAATCCGCGTTAATTTCGTAAATTGATGCTATTTATTAACAATGAGGAGGTGTTAGGCGGTTATCGCCGATATCGACCGGACTAATTTTAAGTTGTTCAGACTTAAAAATAAGTGGACCGGTATTTTATTTTTTTCCTGAATGGGCATGTTTACGCCCGTGGCGGAATTTTCAAAAAACATTACAGCCAAAATCCGGATTTTTAAAAACGCTGTAACTTTTCAAATTTTAACCCGATTTCAAAAGTTAAGCCCAATTGTTGCTCAGAATTAGTTCCCTGAAATTATATAAATTCAGGTTTTAAAATTTAAAAAATTTAATGCTTTAATGCCACTTCTGAATTTTTAAAAATTCTGAAAACGATAATTTTTTGTTAAATTAAAAGCAAAAAAACGAATATATTTATATAATTTTCAGGGAACCAATTCTGCGCATAAATTGGGCTTAACTTTTGAAGTCGGGTTAAAATTCGAAAAGTTACAGCGTTTTTAAAAATCCGGATTTTGGCAGAAATTTTTTTAAAATTCCGCCACGGGCGTAACTTTGAAAAATTTCTATGCGCTGAAGATTTCAGGGATACGGTAAAATTTGAATAGGTCGGCCCGGCCGGTGTGCAAAATAAAATAAAAATACATTGGGGGTATTCACGTATTCGTAAGTAGCTTAAAATAGCATATGCATTTGCAAATGGATAAAAAGGGTGGCGGCGGGGGCGACAGAACTGCTGGTGGGTGTGGTGGGTGGGTATTGGTGGATGGTGGCCGTTGCTCCCTTCTCAGAGAAAGATACGTGACGCAATCAGAGCTCGGCGGAGACTTGGATATTGGAGGGCGAGATTTTGGCTTGGATATGGATACGGATATTTGGAGGGTTCCGCCGAGCTCTGGACGCAATCAACGAAATAGATTAAGTCATGCCAGTTACAACTATATGTAATATATGTATGAAATGTAATGAAATGCAATCAAATTCAATCAAATGTAAAGAAATGCATTGCAATGCAATTACAATGTTGGTATGCCCACCCCTAGGAAATGCTGCAGCATTGCATACGCATATGAAAAAAATGCCCCATGCAAATGAAATACAAGTGTGTATTGGAAATGAGCGTGGGTGATAGCCGCACCCCCTGCTTTCGGTGGGTAAGTGGTAATTGGGGGGGTGGTTATTGGCAGGGTTTCGATTGGTAAAAACCAGATTGACCAGGGCAGTGGGAAAAAGTGGGAAAAAGGCATTTTTACCATCCACCCAAAATAGGTGGGAAATGGGAAAAATGGAAGAAATGGGAAATACTGTGCTTTGGGGCGATGCGAAACAACTTCTTTAAAACTTAATATTTTCCAAATCTGAGTTCATATTCGTATTCTCCATGAAATTCTGAGCAAATAAGTGGGTGACACGGTTAAAATCGAGCAATCTTTAAAATTAACATGTATTCATATGGAAAAATGGGGAAAAAGTTCAAAACTGTTCAAAAGTGGCCGTATTATATACCAAAATTTTCAGAATTTGATGAAGATGACGAATATGAAGTCGAATTCCGAAAATATTGAGTATTAAAGAAGTTAGCTTTCCCCATTACTAAACACATGGGCCGCCATTTTTCCCGTTTTGGACGGTAAATACCATTTTTTCCCACTTCTTCCCACCTGCCGTGGGAAAAAATAGTTTTGGACGGGAAAAACGAAACCCTGGTTATTGGTGCTCTCCGCCCAAGACATTCAATCCATACAGGTTTCACATACATATATGGAATGTGTGTGCATGTATGTATTTATGCAATCTTCAGGTATAAAAATGCCTTTCTACTGTGTGCCCAAACACATGGTTTGGTTAAGCCTGTTTATACTTGCTATCGCCATAACCTTGCTCTCACTTAATTTGTACTTTGTAATTGAAAGTGGAAAATGTAATATTCAAGATGGTTGTGACCCACAATATTTAACTATGGCTAAATTAATGACCTACTATAAAATCCAAAACAAACCATTTTGCAGAGTTTGTTGGCTGCGAGTTCGTGATTTAGTAAAAAATCATACATTGGGCTATAAAAATCCATACACAGATTGGATGAGCTTCACACAGGATTAGTCCGTACAGTTGAAACTACTTCATCATCATGTCTTCGTTTTATGTTCATATCGAGAGCAACTCCTCGTTTTCTCATTTTCAGGATAATACAATATCAAGCTTCAGAAATTGGTTAAGTTCTCCAATAATTTTAGAGCCAAACTCGTATGAAGTTGCTTTGGTAGAATGTGCTTACCCTTCATCACCAATTCGTTTTGAAAAGGGTGATGAACTGTACAAAGTGAAACGAACAAGTAATAACGTTACTAATGACGTAACGTTAACAACTTATAACAACACTGTGCCTCTTGTCAACTCAAAATATAATACTTATTCTGAGAATAAAACTGAAGATGAATGGATAACAGTTTGCAACAACAGAAATATCGAAACATTTGATGATTTACTTGAAGCAATGACAACATCAGACCTTGGGTTTAAACATTATAATGGATACACTCTTTTTTCCACATGGTCAATTGAACAAGATATATGCTACGAATTTGAATTTAATCCCGAAATGGCCAACATACTCGGTTTTCCACATAAAATTAAAACCACCTACACCCAAAGTGCAGAACATAAATTTAACTTTAAATCAAATAACACGAGATATTATATTTATTGTGACATTGTCGAAAACCAGCATGTTGGTGACACCTCGGCCCCAATTCTAAGATCTTTCGTAAATCCTTATACAGATGTTGACAAAATAATTGCGAGAGCATTCAACAGCCTACAATATGTCTCAGTGTCAAAACCATCCATGGACTATATTCACATGTATATAAGGAATGAGTTCGGTCGTCCTCCCCCATTCTCCTTTGGAAGTTTTAGTGCTACACTCCATTTTAGAAGAAAACGTTTCTAAAATGTATTCAGAAAACGTATATGATGACTACTATCAGGTCTATGAACCTCAGATTGGTGGCTCATTGGCATATAAAGCAAGTTACTATCGACAAAAGGGTGCTGGTATTGGCGGAGTCTTTGGCGTCATAGCCAGACGATTACTTCCATTTGTGAAATCGCTATTACCACACGTTGTGCCTCCCTTAAAATCAGCTGTTAAAAATATTGCATTAGATGTTATAAATGACAAACAATCGTTCAAGGATTCGTTACGTTCGAATGCAATGTCTGCCTTAAAAGAAGCTGGAAATAATCTACTCAACCAGTCTGGTGGAAGAATTAGACGAAGAAGGAACGTTCGAAAACGTCAGACAAGGACACGTAAAGCAACAAAACGTAAAATAAAACGAAAACCAAAACGTAAACCTGTCAAACGTTTGAAATCAAAAGCAAAGAAGACGAAAAATAAAAAGAAGTCGACAAAACGAAAGCTCATTTCTAAACCTTCCTTATTTGATTGAGAAAATGGCTAAACCAAAGCAAATCATGAACTTTATTCGGTCAGAAACTGATCTCTTCTCTGAACCCGGTTACGACTTGACTCTTTCCAGTTCACACCGAGTTGATTATCATCCAATAACAAACATTTCGGATCGATCCACTCCGCTAACGTTTATAATTCAAGGAAACGACTCACAATACATTGACTTTTCTGAAACTCAACTCTACATTCTCTGCAAGATAGTAAATAGCAAAGGTGGAGATAGAGATGCCACACAAAATGATACTGCCCCGATTAACAATTTCTTGCATTCAATGTTTAGTCAAGTGGCTATTTATTTTAATGATACACAAATCACTTCTCCAACTTCGCTATACCCCTACAAAGCCTATTTGGAGACTCTTTTGTCTTTCGGAAAAGAATATACCAAAACTCAAGCAATGGCTGCACTTTACCACAAAGAAGCAGATCCAACTACAATCGACGAGGGGTGGAAGACTCGAGAGAAATTGGCGAACAGCAGCAAAGTCTTTGAACTGTGTGGAAAGCTGAAGACAGATATATTTAATCAAAACAGATTCTGCATTCCAGGCATCGATATCAAAATTGTACTTTATCGAGCACCAGACAGTTTTTGTCTACTCAGCAAGGCTCCAACAAGTGGAACTGCACAAGATGCAGCACAACTTCACATTATGGAAGCCAAAATCGTTGTTCAAAAACATACTCTACTTCCATCAATTACTATGGGTCATTTAAGATTAATGGAAAAGGGGCTACCTGCATGTTATCCTATGCGAAGAGGAGACATGAAATCATTTTCACTGTCAGCCGGAACTCTGCAATATACAAACGAGAGTTTAATCACAGGACTTTTGCCAGATCGGATAGTAGTTGGCATCGTCTCAAGTAAAGCCGTACATGGTCATTACAATGAAAACCCATTTAACTTTATTCAAGCCGATATATCAAGCATCACTGTAACCGTGAACTCGGAGCAAGTAACATCTCAAACGTTCGAACTTGACTTTGATAATAAGAAAAGTATTGAAGCATACTTTAGCGTATTTTCGGGACTAGGACTATCAAATCTTGACACTGGAATAGAACTAACATTTGACAATTTCAAAACTGGAAGAACTCTCTACGTTTTTGACTTGAGACATCAACACGATGGATTCGCTATACCTAGACATGGCAGTGTGAAAATTGAGATAAAGTTACGAAATGCAACTACAACTGCGCTAACAGTTCTTTGTCATTGTGATTATCAATCAGTTCTGTTTGTTGACAAGAATCGTCATATTTACTTTAAAGACTACTCCATGTGAGATGAACACGGATCAGATTTACCGAATTCTAGCGGGACTCTTTTGTCGAAGCAAGATCACGTTTGACGTTTGCGCATGTGATGAGTTGGATGAACTTGTTTTGGAAAATTATCCTATTGCTATTGTAATTAATAACCAACCAACTTCTCACCCAGGCGAACACTGGACTTGTATGTATATTCAAAACCGAACCTTACCAATAAATTTCTTCTGTAGCTATGGAGTAGGAATCGATGCATATGCAAGTAATTTTAGAAAATTTGTTGAAAGACATGGAACTGGAACAACACAAACTTGTGTGCAACTACAATCTCCAAACAGTAATGTATGTGGTCACTACTCAATTTGGTTTCTATGGAAACGAGCAAATGGTTTTAGTATAAGAAGTGTATACTGTAATTTTTCTAAAGATTATTCTAAAAATGATAGATTAGTCAAAGAATTTATAAATAACAAGATTCATTTATTAAATCAAAAATGTTGTAGCAAGAAAATACACCAAAATTCAATAAATTTAGTATAAATTTAAAACGGTGTCCACCTTTGCATTTTTCTGGTTAATTTCTTCATCTTGTGTTCTTGCATCTTCTTTTGAATCCATGCACTCTTCTTCCTGTTCTGTCTTCTTTTAAGTCCACTTCCCTTCTGCTTGGCAAGAAATTGATTGACTGAACTTGGAAACATATCTGATGCAGGTTTCTTGGACTTTATAAACGTCAACAAATTCAACATGGAGGGATCAGATTTTAGAGTGGATTTTGCTGTGAGGCCATGACATAGTCCAACAAGAAGAGTGTTCATCTTTGTCAAAGAATGTGTCACGCCATTTACGATGAACTTATCACCAGATATTTTTGCACCATTCTCTCTCAGAAACTCAAGAATTTTTCCTCCACGTGCTGTTGTGCCCTTTAAAAGAGTCTCTAGAGTAGAACTAGCAACTTCACGTGTTGGTTTGTTTTGTGAAATCACTGACGTTGTCTCACTCGTTTCGTTTTCAGCATTCTTGACAAGTAGTGGTTTCTTATCATCCTGCTTCTTGTTTTCAATCAACTGTCGATTTAAGTTTTACAAAAGGAGAATCTTTATATCGTCGGGGATTGTAGAATTTCCAAAGATGTTGTTTTTCTCAGCTTTTAGTTTCTCCTCAAGATCCAATTCGACATCTTGTGAATTCAATGCCATAATTTTCTTGTACTACCTTCATTTTTCTAGCCATCTCCCAACAAGTCCACCCACTATCGTTGCTAAAACTGGAACAAGAGCGGGAAGAAACCCTCCCTTTTGACACAAATACTTTTTCTTGCTTTTGATTGGTGCCCTCAAGCAAAGTTTTTGAATTACAGCCTTGTGCCGTAAAAGTTTTGTTTTCTGAGAATTGCTCACTGGAATATTTCTGTTATTTAGATTGAGGCAGAGTTCACAAATGGAACGAATTTGTTCTCCAGTTGCTTTATTTATGAGCACTTTTCTATCCTTCACATTGCTTTTACACAGACGATGTAAGTAAGATGCATGGAGCTTTACACGATTTTTTCGAGCCATAATCCGTCCAAACCCTTATCATGACTATGTCATATATCAGCAAACGTTGCTGTATATATATCACTCAGTTATGACCATGAGTTCCAAGAGAAGTACAGCAGGGATTAAGTCCTCTTACCTAAACGTTAAGAAGCCAGGAGCCTTTAGTGGGCTTGCAGGTTTTATCAAATCTGGCAAACGTAAAGAACCACGTCGAGAAATTGAAAACGTTTTGAAAACAATAAACGCTTATACGTTACACCGCTCACGTAGAAAACATTTTCCAAGAAGGCTGGTGTACGTTAAGCATATCAACGATCAATGGGGGATGGATCTCATGGACGTTTCTAAATATTCAAAATCCAATAACGGTACCAACTTCCTGCTTACAGCAATAGACATTTTTTCCAAGCGAGGATATATCGAACCGCTTAAAAATAAGAATGGACTAGTTGTAAAGAAAGGTATTGAAAAGATATTCAAACGGAGTAAAGGACTCCCCCTACGGATTCAAACAGATTTAGGTAGAGAATTTTACAATGTACATTGTAAAAAATTACTTGAAAAACTCGGGATAAAAATGTTTTCAGTCCAGTCGGAACTGAAATCTTGTGTAGTTGAGAGGTTCAATCGTACTATTTTGGAAAAAATTCATAGGTTTATGACAAACTATGAAACAACCAAATTTGTTAATCGACTAACTGATCTTGAAAATAACTACAACTCATCATATCACAGAAGTATTAAGTGCACGCCGAAGGAAGTTAACAAAAAGAACGAGAAAATTATATTTGCTCGGTTATACAACAAACTAATTGGTGCAACCGACACTAGAAAAGAAATTTTCAAAGTGAATGACGTGGTCTTGATCTCAAAAGTGAAGAAAATATTTGACAAAGGAGCCACGGCTAATTTCAACAAAGAAAAGTTTGTAGTTAACGAAATAAAATCAACCGTTCCTCGTACATATATTCTTCGCGATCTTAAAGGTGATATTTTAGAAGGGGGATTTACCGTGAAGAAATGCAAAAAATATAATGGATTGCTTCAGGGGATTAGTGTCACAGATCCATAATATTTTTGCTAGGTTTAAGTCAAATTGTTGCATTCGAGCTAAATTTATGTGCTGCTCTTCTCAAGTTGAAAATCCCAGCAAAGAGGATAATACTATAGAGACTGTTGAAATTGTATTTTCAACCTGTTGTGATTGTTGTGGGACAAAGGTGTAGGAAAGTGCGACTTGTGCAAGAAAACTACAAAACGTTATCATAACAATTTAGAGAGCCCAAATTGGATCCATTTATGTACTGATTGTGGAATTGTGTATTTAGAAACTTTGAAAAACACAAAAGCAGAGCTGCTTACTATGGACTACCTTCTTAGTCCAAGGTTATACAATCGCGGCATTCCTTTTCAGTCAAGGTTAGAGGAAGAGTCTCAAATTGAACAAGAACGTTTCATGAAACTTAAGGCTTGGTTTAGGAAAACAACTACAAGCACTGCTATAAATCTTTCCAAGGAGATGAGCCACATCGAGTTTGACATTTATGAGGTACCACGCCTGTGAACAACTGCTAACGTTTTACATGAAAAATGGTGGAAACGTTTTGGCTGCACTTACACTACGATCTGAAATAACTCGTCTGGTAAAGGAGCATAACGAGCTAGAAGTTCAAGACTTGAAACACACCACATTACCTACCTTTTACGAAGCAGAGGAGAAAAGGTCCATAACTCCACCCTTGATGTATTCTGAGCCAATCGATGCTGAGCATTACTACAATAGCATTGCTAGAAGTGCTTCTCCTCCACTATAAGAAGCAGGCTGATTTTTCAAACCTCAGTTCAGTCTTACCTTTACTTTCACAAAGTAATCATCAAGACTCTCAACCAAATTTTCGAAAAAATCGTCATGGCTGCAAACCAATCCTTCGTTTCTGGAATTACCCCTCCCCCTAATTCCCCTACTTTACCGATCCTTGAAGACAACATGTTAACTTCAGTAAGTGATCTGCAGGAAATTGACAACACCATCACCCCGATTTCTTCAACAACTAGGGCTGACAAGCGTCAACTGATTAACCCCACGTCTGGCGAAAAGAAAATCAAGTTTGAAGATGATCGAATCATCAAAGTATCCCGTTTCGACCGACTTGAAAAAATTCAAATTGTGATTGAACGAAAGAAGAAGAGCGTCTATTTCGATCTACCAACTTGCTTCTACGTGATGGGACGTCTTATCGGAGCGTTGAATAAGGATCCTGTTTTACCAAGCAAACTTGAAAACCTTTGCAGAAAAATGCACAGAATTCCCCTACGCTGCAAGCCGTATGCTCTACGAAGAGGCTTCGGAGAATGGATTCAAAGAAAACAAGCTTGCATATAACCCAGTAAATTCTTCCATCTGGGTAAGCGACTTCAATGATGTCTACTATGTGTTTATCAAACAAGATGGAGTCGTCGTTAACTTCAAACTCGATGACTCTTGGGATGTTATCAACCAAATTGTGGAAACTACATTTGAACTTGTAGCTGCTGACGAGGGGCGATACATTCCTTTCTTTCAAAACTTTGAAGGATTTTTGCACCAAATCGTGTATGATTTTGAGATCCTGGAAAAGACAGTGTCCTACATAAACCTGAAGGAGGAAATGTTTCAGCTTGGATTCAATGAAGTGCGACAAGGTGCCACCCCCAAGTTCTACGTTATGAACAACTGGAAAAGTGTTTCCATGCCCACCCTTGTTCATTTTGATGTTGAAGAAGAAGAGGAAGAAGGAGAAAGAAAACGGCTTGGTTGTGAAATCGAAACAGATATACTGCTCAACCCATGGCTGATGAGAAAACAGGAACGTCCGTTGGAGAAATATGGAGTGGTTTCTCAAGCTGTATTGTCTGCCAAGAAGAAGATATTGCGTGAAATTCGTAACCTTACAAAATCAAACAAGCCAAAGTTTGAGATATTGACGGTGTCTGCATATTATACCGTCAATGGATGGACAGAGGTTGGAGAAGAAGAGTGGGGAAACATTCCTGACAAGGAAGGAGTCTACACTTTTGGTATCGATGAAACGGGGCAAATTTGGAAAAAGTTGACTAATGAAGCCCAAGAGGATATAGACATTTGGTCTGAGCTTACGGAGAAGCTTTGCAACACCAACATGAAGGACGGGCAGGACGCTCCAGTTGTCAAAGTTGAGGAAGCATGCAAGCATCCTCTTCACAAATTTCGTACTAACTGGCCACCAATTTACTTTGAGATGCGGAAATGGATCCAGGTAGCTGGGGCTGGTGTCTTTCCACCTGACTACAAGGGAAAGGATGGTTTTGTCTCCTGGCAGGTCGATTCGAAGGGTCAGTCTTGGTTTCAAGAGTTTGCCACTGTGAAGGAAGCTTCACTTCCAGTTTTTTGTGTTCCAAACAAGTGTTACTGCGAGGTCCTTGCCTAAAATGTAATTTTGTATACAAAGGAGAAA